AAAATAGTTAAAGAAATAATGACAGAAAACGTCCCAATTTGGAAAATAAAAAAAAAAAATAACCCAAGCAAGAGAAATATTTGCTACATCCTACATTGTGACAAGTCATATATGACGTGGCAACATCAAAGATGAAGAGAAAAACTGTAAAGCAGTCGTTGAAAAAGGTATTATATACAAGCAACCGAAATCACTTCCCAAAAGTGACAAGCCCATTGTAAAAGAGAAGAGGTGCCCAGCGGTCACCGCCCTGGACTGAAATAGAGGACAAGGATTCTGCCACAGACACGGGTGAAAGGGGAACCCAGCTCCGACGAAGGGTCCTTTTTACTCCGACTGCATCTTATCTCCACCCACTGGCGCAAACGCAGTCCCTGTCCCCTCCCCATTGGCTGTTTGCCTCACAAGTTATCCTTTTTCTCTGCTGCGCACTCATGTCCGAACTGCAGAAGCCATAGTCTTTTTTAAACTGCTTCCCCACCTGTAACCTTTATATTACGATGAAGTGTTTAATACCCTGTTCCGAAACAGAGTTGCAATTTCCTGCTTCTGTCATCTCACTCAGTTTTGTATCCTTTAATCTTTTGGTCTCCGGTGGAAGAGCTCCTTTCAACATTTCTTATAATGCAGGTCATGTCGTGGTAAATTTCCCTCACCTTTTGTTTGCCTGGTAAAGCTTTTTACCTATAAAATGTTCTTAACTGCAGTGACCCCCAATACATTTAATTAAAAAACAAACAAAGAAACCAGTCTTACTGGTTTCAAAGTTCTTATACCATAGACCACGACGTCAATCATTTTATCGAGAAGACTATTTTAGGGCGTGGTGATTATTTATTGTTCTTGGAACCAAGCTCGGCCTATACGACGGATTAGCCTGTCTTTCACGCTGCGGTCTATGGGCCAGTCGGGAAGATTTGTAAAGCAGGTGCACCAAGCACCGCCTGCAGGCCATGCGGCACGATGTCTGCGGGAGCTTGCTGGAGCTCCACGCGCGTCACTCAGATGTGCCACAGCAGTGTTCTCTGAGCGATGCTCCGCTGCCAGCATCTCTGTCCCTGTGGCTGAGTCTTTGAACTATAGCCGTGAACATCGGTGTGCAGCCTGCCAGAAGAACCAGGGAGTTAATACCGACCCTCCCTGCCAACCAACTCTCAACCAATAATGTTTGGGAGTTGACGTTTAACAGATTTCTTGCGTCCTCTCAGCACTTGAGTGGGATGATTCTGAGGGGCGTGTTTTACACAAGATTAAGCTCTAGCTGTCCGTCGAGGTGGCTGGTGAAGAGCATCAGTGGGTGCTCTGCCAGCCCCAGATATGCCACGCTGGCACAGCGATTATTTTGTGTTCAAGTCACTGAAAGACAGGAGATGCGAGGAGGGCGCTCTGACCTTCCTTTTTCTTCCTGAAAGCAGAGCTAAACGTCCCACGCAAAGGGCGCACTCCCGGTACTGGGCAGAAGGCATTCTCATCGCCAGAGATGGGCGTGGACATTGAGGGGAATACGTACAAACAAACCTTGTTAAACTGACCTTTACCTTCCTAGTCATTTTTCTACAACTCACGGTCCTAGCCCAAGCCCCCTGTCTTGCCACTCTTTACCACTCCTTGTCCCATCTAGTGTACAGGCACTTGGCTCTAGCTGCTTCTTTGGGTCTTCACTTTTCTTATGCAGGCTCTGTGCACGTATAAAAATATTAAATAAAATTTGTATATTTTAGTCCAGTGAATTTGTCTCATGTCAATTTTCTTAGGCCCAGCTGGAGACCCTAAGGGGATGGAGGAGAAATGACACCTCCCCTGCACTGGCTTAATAACATGCTCTTTATAGTCTGTCTTCACATTCCTATGACCAATCACTAGCCCACATGAGGGTTCCTGAGGGTCCCCCAAAATGACTTACATGCAGGAGAAAATAAAAAAGACATCCAATAGAAAGGGTGCAAAGTATATTATAAAAAAAAAAAAAAGGTGACAGAATGAACCACTCTCATAATTCTGATCATGCTATTGCTAAACCTGGATTTCCCACTATTCCTGAGAGCTTGTGCAATTTCAAAGGATAAGAGTTAAGTAAATAGGTGAGTTCAATAGAACATTGATCCTACAGCCCTGGACAGACTGTTTTAAGCCTTTGGAGCAACTTTGGTAGGTGGCAAGTCATAGACGCCTACTAGAGCCAGCTTAAGCACAAGGGCTGTGGGCTTAAGAACAGAGCCAGCGACTGGGATGGGGAAGAAAACACAGAGAGTGTCTGCTCCCATCCGCTCTCTGTGACCTGCTTCATCTTTCTCTTTTTGCCTGTTCCCCAATCTACAAGGCTACTACCAGCACCTCATGAGGCTACAAAGTATTGTGCAGTGTCCCAGGGAGACTGATTTCCTTTTTCTGCCTCCTCTGCTTTTTTTTCCTCTTCAATAGCCTCTTCCAAAATCCCAACCCACCCCTCACCCCGCCACCAAAAAAATGACCCTGCTGGGGAAAGGTACCTATGCCTGGACAACTCAGCTGTGGCGAGAAAGCAATGTCACGTGACAGGAAAACGCGCTATTCTCCAATCCAGTAGGATGAGAGAAAGGAAGTTTCCCAGAGGATGGATGTTGGCCGGCAGCCCAACAGAATCAACCATATGAGTTATGATCTGTTTGAGAAACTGAGGAAAGCACTGGACATTCTTCACAGCAATAGATACACGTGACAAATATCAAAATGCATACGGCTGAGGGGGTTCGTGAAACCCGTGGTTCACTCTTAGATCCTAACTTTAAAACTCTATATCCACTAGATCTGTGTATTTCAAATGTTTCAAACTTTTCAAATGTACGCTAAGATTTTTAAAATTTTAGAATCTGCTTATGACCTTCCATTCAAAGGGTATTCAGCCACAACAAATAACACACAGTAAAACGTTAAGTCTTTCAAGGAAATATAACATGTAAGAAGCCTACACGTAACGGCGCGGACTAGGGAGAGGGGCGATCAGTCAGACAGCAGCTGGTATCTGTTGTCATCAAGGGGAGACGGTGGCAGTTCCTCACTTTATTTTTTTTTTTACTATCATTAAAACACATTTCCTTAGTATGTGCCCAAACTTGATCAAACGTTTGAGAAGGTGTACCTAGCCCCTCAAATTACAACACTGAAATGACCTCATAAAGAGATGTATAAAGTGAATCAAATAATTGGTAAGACCTAGTTCATTGCCATTCAGGATGGCCTAGAAAGTAAAAAACCTATACGTGGCTCAATGGGAAGTTTCTGTTCAAAATACATTGCTATTGCTGCATATAATTTTACTCAAAGCACACAAAACCAAACACAGACAACTGACAGAAGCTAAGGAGAGAAAATCAGGAGTACATGCCACGGATATGTTGAGCAACAGGTGAGACATAAATTAAAAATCACATGAAAGTCTTCAGGAAACCTGTGCCCTTCGCTGGGGACTAGGAAGCAGTCAATGCTATCAGTCGTACATCCTTAACGTCCGAGAGTATATAATGGAAGGAAATGGCCACATTCTGCCACAAAATGTCTTACGTTACAGGAAATGAGAATAATGCAATACACAGAACAATGGCTTAACAGAGAATTATATTCTCATAGGTTATTTAAACATACATACAAGGGCTTACAAATTCAGTATTGTATCCCTGTATTTTGAGTCTATGATGCAAGTTTCATATATGAAAATATGACAATTTAAAGTATGATTTTAATGAGATATTTTCTAGGTAATCTTTGAAAGAGAATCTAATTTCCTGAATATTTAAATACATAAACTTGACAAAGCTAGAATGATGAAATGCCATTGAGCCTAATTACATACAATAAATCCTTTAGGAAAGACCATATTCCTACAACATACTGAAAATTCTTATATTAACTATATTCAGAAAAAAGATAGACATTATATGAGGTTAAAAAATTACTATGCTAGTACTATTTTTGTAAACAATATTGAAACTATATGTGAAGGCCAGCACATAAAGTCTAAAATTTAATTATGTGTTCATCAAGAATTTTCTGTGCTTGAAAAAACTGGGAGAAAATATTTTTTAGATCATAAAGAAATATGATAGACTATTTCATTCAAGGATGTAACATGAATAGTTTTTAACATTCTCATGGGACCACAAAGTTCCATGACAGGTAGCAATCTGTGATTTTGATTGTCACACATTTCACTTGGACACGCTAGAAGTCTGGTTGGTTTTCCTGAGTTATTAAATATAAATAATCCCGACCCATGTGACATCTGTATTTATCTCTGCTCATTCTTGAATGCACTGTAATTTTCACGTAATACCTGAAAGTTTTTTTAAAATTTAAATCATACTATTCCTTTTTACAAAATATGGGAAAGGACATAGGGCAGTAGAATTTGCCACGGTGAATTCATGGAGGGTCTCAGGATGCCCCTCATAAGAAAGTCCAGGGGAATCACGGCACCTCAGGGAAGGCAGGATTTGGGGGCTGCCTATAGGTACCTCACGGTCTAACAGAAAGGTCAGCTGGCAAAACTGACAGTGTGAGGACCACACTTAAGTTGTGCTACTAAATTCATACTATCGTTTCTTATTAAATCAAAGTCAATGTACATCCATTATCTCACTGGAGAATGAGAGAAAACACTGCATGTTAGCTGCCTTTTGGATACTAAGATGATTACATCATGCCAAGTTCATCTAACTTCCCTGATCTGGACTTCAGAACTGAAGTAGGTTTTTGGACAAATATTTCTCCTGAGCAGCCATCTGAAGACCGGTGCACAACTGCAGTGATTGCGGCTCAAAAACATAAAAGCCACCTTCTTATGTTTGCATCAGGAAAAAGACCCCTTGTCACGTTGTGACATTCCTCCATATTTCTCAGTTTCCTTTTCAGACAAATGGACAAATACTTACAAATATTTCCAAAGCCCATGGCCAAGACGTACAGTGAGTACAGACACATTTGTAAGAGACAAGGGACTATTGTGTGCTGCAGACGGTGATTACCTGGAGGCAGGCATCGCAGCTGGTTGTTAGCTAGTCGAAGATGACGTAAAGCTCTCAGACGACCAATTTCTGGGCAAACAATTTCTAAGGCATTGTCACTAAGATCCAAACACTGGAGTTTTACAAGGGACCCAATGGCTTCAAAGAGAAAAGAAGGGTAAAGGCAGAATCAGTCTGACCCAACTGTTATGACGAATCTTTAATGCAAGTACTCCAAGGTAAAATATACCTGTGTTTTGTCACGTATAGTGCGCACCTACGCTTTATATACTAATCCCATATATAAATATGGAATTAGTACTACCCATGTACAATGCACATCCTTATTTTTCCCTCAAAAATATGGGCAAAAAAGTGTGGTAAATATATGGCAAAATATGGTACGTAATATCACCATCTCAGGTGCTCACAAAACAATAAAAACATACATAAAACTAAATTTTATGCAAGTGATAAGACTTCTGCCGCAACATAAAATATAATAACTTAAAAAAGAGCACAAATAAAAAATTTTAAAATGCTATAAAATATTGCTTGAATAATAAATAATTCATGAAACAATATATGTCATTTTTAATCTAACCATAATTCTTAACTGGATTTATTGAATTTAGAACTTATTATTTATCCAACAACAACATATCTAATAATTTATCTCATCATTATAACCATGTTGGACTTTTTATTTAATTATAATTCTTAACTGGATTTACTAATTAGGGGGGAAATATTTGAAAAAAAATAAAGATACTTTATAATTAAAATTCACTAATACACCAACAAAAATAGGTTTAAAGAGACTACCTGTTCTACCATTATAAAGAAAAGCTTAAACAATAGTGTCTCCTCACTAAGAATTGGAAGTGTACTTACTTACCTTCCGGAACCACAACAATGTTATTTGAATGAAGGTACCTGGGAAAATACAAAAAAAAAAAAAAAAAAAAAGCTGTTATAATTCACTATTTCTGCTATAGAATGGATTTGTAAAATGCTCACTTAGAAATGTATAAAATATAATGGGACCAAACTTTCTTTCACACCTTACTCAAAGTATGTAACACAAAACAACAAAATACAGGGTCATCACAGATCACTAATAATACTTTGAAAACAATATCTTATGCTGGAATTGCAAATATTAAAACTATTTATTGATTTAGTTGCTATTTTAAAATGAAAGATACACAATAGAAAAATTATGAGGTATTTTTCAACACTGTAAAACAAATGACTAGTTTCTCTACTTTATTGAAATTATTCAGGTTTTCAGAAATACAGTTATTGTATAAAGAAAAATCAGCACTATTGTGTAAAGGAAAATGCAACTGTTAGCTTCTAATGGATAATTTCATCAAAGATATTTCCAGGGAGCAAGTATGCTTCCTGAGATACAAGAATTCTGGAGAGATTTAAAGCTCATCATTTATAGCAGAAATAATCAACTCTCAAGGTACAGAATTTATTTCACAGCAAAAGGAATTTCACAAACATGAATCAAATTCTTTTCTTAAAAAAAAAAAAAGGAAGTTTTTCAGGGCTGACAAGTCCAGGCACGCCTAAATACAGAACACTTCTCCCACCGAAGTATCTTTAGCACACTCTGGTGGAGATACTATGCAATCAGAAGCAGCCAAGTAGTTATTCAGAGCAAAACAATAATGACCACTGGGTTATATAGTAGTCATTTTAAAAATAAATTTATATCATTGATTTTGAAACAAGAAAACTGGATTTTGATAAACTTTATTTTCAAACCTATGATTTATTGCACTCTATAAGCCAATCTTCATAAAGTGTTTTAAATAGTATTTTGAAATATTCTTCTAGATTTTTAAGTCTAATATCAAATGTTAAAACGTCAATGACACAGAATAGGAAAGATAGAAAACTAACACATTTAAAAAGGTTTTTCTGTGATGGATTAAATTAATTTTGTAGTATTAGCCTGCTGGGTCGAACACAATTTAAACAAACCATTCCATGATATATTTTATTCCTTGTTTTGTGTATATAAAATGATTCAACATCTTAAAATCAATATTCCTTAAACATTAATTTTAGGGGGGAAAGGCCTCACTTTACAATTCTTTAGGCCAAAATACTAAATGTTGTGCAAAAAGAGACAAAAGGTCCGAAATGGAGTCTCTTGTGCTAAGACCACATCACCAAAACCAAACGGAGACTCAGAACCCACCCTAACCGCAGTGCCTGCGCCTCCCGGGACGGTAAGTGCACCCAGTCAGCCTGGAACTTCCTGGTCAGCACCGCGAGGGGCTCTGCCTGACAGAGCCCTGCCACCTACCAGAGGAAGGTGGCCTTGGCTGAAACAATGCATTCTTTGCCAGACAGCTTCCTTTTTCCATCCTCTTTCTGCTGTTAAAAGCCTTTCCTTTTCTATAGCTCTTTTCTTTCTGCTAGATGAGATGCTGCCCGATTCATGAATTTTTGAATAAAGCCAATCTGACCTTTAAATTTGTTCCCTGGAATTTTGTTTCCTAACAATATAAATATAAAACGTGCGCGTGCACATACACACACACACACAAATATACACATTTGCATTTGTTATACAAAAGCCAGAGTGCCTAGACAGCAAAATAAAGTGAAAACCGATTTTCAAACTGCCACAAAGTATGTGCTTCAGTTCAAGGTCTGCCCACAAAAAAAGAACCTTAAAATATCCAAATCAAAAAGCATTCACTTGTAATTGAAATCAAAATGTATATTCTAGCATGATAAATGTATCTACACTATAATGAAGATGTAGTATACAATAGTAGAAAATAGTCCCAATCCTGCCTACATGTTAGAATCACAAGTGGTCTTCAAAACATTGGTGCTCAGCACTTTCTGTACCACCTCAGCTCCTCAAGTTATTCTGATGTGCACCTGGTTAAGAGTCGTTGCTGTTCGAGTGGATCAGAGAGCAGGCCTTGGAACCACACTTCCTGCCCCTTTAGGGCTCTGTGACCAGGGGAACATTTTTTACCCCTCACTTTCTTAATCGAGAGAAGCAGATAGTAATAGCACCAATCATAATATAGGAATGTTGTAAGAATGAAATGAATCAATACACGCAAAGTTCTCACAACAGAGTCTAATGAGTGCTGTTGTTATTGCTGTTACAATTATTAGTTATCATTATACATTTGTAATCACAGGCTTAGCAGTTGTGGTAAGTATACCACATCCTTGATGATCAGGATCAAAACTAACCCTAGAGTACAGGTTACTCTAGACCTCTCCTAACAAAGTAGAAAGTGAAGCCATACCTGGATGAAACTCAACCACAAATAACCACATGCTAGAACAAAGCACAATGAAAAAGGAAGACAACAGAGTGTATACACTCAACAATATAAAATTTATAAGGTCCAGCATCCAATCCCAAAGTATTAGACGTGCCAAGAAATCAGGAAAATGTGATCAGTAATCGCGATCAAAGCAAGTCAACACAAGTATATCCTGTGTGACAGAGATGATGGAAGAGCAAGTAAGGACATTAAAACAGCTATAATAACTATGTTCAGGTATGTCAGGGAAAATGTGAACATTGTGAGAGAAATGGTAAGGTGTAAGGAAGAGCCAAACAGAACTTCTACAGATCACAACTTCACTGGGTGGGATTAACAGCAGATGGGATGCGATCATCATGCTAAAACATTATTATTATTTTTTTACATTTAATGCATAATTTATACATAAAAATCATATTTCCTATTATTTCAAATAACTTAAAATTATTTTCATTCATGTTTTTAAAAAAACTGAATAAACACACTCACAGTTCCACCAGGTTTGGAAGCTTCTGGGCAAGGTTTTCTGGCTGCAAATTAAAAACTCAGAATTAAATTTTATTTTTGAAACACGTGTAAACATCTCTGAATAGCTTAAACACCAACTACTATCTTTTTGAAGGCTATGCATTTTGAGAGAATAATAAAACAGCAGATCTGGATTTATGTTTCTATAGACCATACCATTTAAATTTATGAATTTGAACACTTCAAATCAATGCCCTCTGGAGAAACCAGAAGACTTGTACTCCATGGTCATGGAATAAATAAAAACCACTGGCCACCTCAGGAGCTTGGAGAGAGACCAGACCCTCCTTCAGACCCCTGAGAAGGAACTAGCCTCTGCCCACATCCTGAACTGGAATTCTAGCCTCCAAAGCTGAGAGAACACATTTCCGTTGTTTTAAGCTTCCCAGCCTGTGCACTACATTATAGCAGCCCTAAGAAACTAACGTTACCCCCACAAAACACCCCAACCTTCAGGAGAAAATGGGGAAATCCCCAGGAGCCAGAAACCAAGACCTGACTGCGTTCAGAATAAACAGAGGAAGCTGGAGCTCAGGGGGCCCACGGGAGCGTGGCACTGGCCACAGGCCCCAAGTCTGCAGTAGCAGGGAGAGGAAACAGCCCTCTGGGAGGAGACGAAGGGAGCTGGGTCCCCGTCCCTCACACAAGTCAGAGCCCTGCTAAGACTGGCCCTCCCAGGAAAAGAATCCCAGATAAATTCCACTCAGGGACTGGAGCCAGCTTCCCTCTGCTGGAGGCGCCGAGAATGAGGAGGAGGTCCTGTAAATAACAAGCCAGCCTAGATCAACACACATGGTACCGTGCACAGGGTTCAAATTTATAGGATCATGAAGATACAAGACTGAAGTCAGGAGTAATTTGTTAAATGAGACAGGAGTAATTTTTAAGAATTTACCTTCAAACATACTGTACGGTGAGCTAGATACCAATAACAAAGAGCCAGGAACAAGTTTTTAGAAGAAATTACTTCTGACCTGAGCCCTAAAAGGCAAATATAAATATCAGAGAGGTGGAGCAAGGAGGAGGATAGCCTTTCTAGGCACAAGAAGCAATTCATGAAAAGAAGAGAGGAAGGAGGGGGTGGGAGGGAGGGAGGGGGAGACGAAGAGGGAGAGAGAGAAAAGAAGCAGGAAGGGGAGGAGGGGTGAGAGGAAGAAGAAAAGTATGTTTGGAAAATTGCAAATACAATCTATTCTGCTGCAACTCCCTAACCCTACACCCCAAAATCCTGCTATAAAAACAATTGTGTCAACAGAAAAAGAAGCAGTAAGGACTGGAAAGTTTTAGGCTTGTAACAGTAATGTTTCCTACAGAAACTTCGTAACAGCAACGGTCATTCGGAAAAGGAGGAGGGTTGTTATTTTCCATCCACATTTGTATCATGTAAGTGTTTAACAGTGATCATGTGTGTCCTTTATAGGGGAAAAAGTTAAAAAATTAAATATAAAAATGTAGAACATACAGTATATAAATTGCTACATAATTGAGTATGTCTGGGCCATCAGGTATGAAGGTGTGTAATGATTTTCCAGAGAGTGGCAAGGAAGACGTTAAAATATAAGGGTTTATAGTTCATACTAAGGAAAAACTTTTTAAAAAGTCCTGAACAGAATAAAAATCCAATAGTTTATTTTTAAAAAGGAAATTTAATAATTTCATATTGGGATACTGATGTATTCAAATATTTAACAGTATCCCACGCTGCGTCCATACATACACTATTGCCCTTTGATGATGACCAAGTAACACTGAATATGAACATTTCTTACGAGGTCAATGAAGCATTTATTGAGTACGCACTTCTGATAAAACTCCTTTTAGTGTTCAAATGCTGGAAGCTGTGACTCTTTTTTCCCCCCATGTTGTAATATCGGTGAGGTCCTTCACGACAAGTCTTTCCTCAGATTTTACCCTTGGATCTGTCCAAATCCCCAAAAAGTTTCTTTTAGTACCATTATCTTCCCTAAGAAGAACAGATACTTCCATTTATTGGCCTATAAACACAGTATCCTAGAAAAACTAGAGAACTAGGGGGCAGGGGCTGAGGTCTAACAGTAGCTGTTCCTTTAAAAAGGAAAGACTTGCCCAGAAAACAAACGTTAGACCCTAATCTAGTGCCATCTGCTACAATAGCAACCTCATATCTGGCTCACTCATGGGACTGGTAGTCATTCTTTCCAGATGCCTACCTGGCTCCATCACATGGCATTCTAATCTTTCAATGACAATCTTTTTTTTTTTTTTTTGAGTCATAAAGCTACACACACAATTAAGCACTGAATAAAGTTTCTGCTGCCAACAGTGTGACACTATGTCTTTATTAACAAGTAAGTACACTGGGTTTTTATTTTTAAATAAGCACAATGACCTTGGAAAATAGCAATTCATTAGAATACTAGGATTTGAGGGGAAAAAACCCACATATTAGTATCTGTCCCCAAAGCCTGGTAAATAAGCAGCCTGTTGCCTGGGCCATGCCTGACACCTACAGCTGATCTTCTCTATGTACATCTTTCTCTCCTTTCTACTGGCATGTCTCAGCAAGGAAGTTAAGTAATGGGGGGAAAGCTACACGTTTTAACTATTACATTTCCATATAGTTCATGTAAAGTAAGAGACTTGATAACTATAAATTAACATCAAAATTTGTGTTATTCTGTGGGTTACTAAACTCTAATGCGGGATTATGGATGCCACAAAACTAGTTTATCTTGATCCATAGAATTTACATACTATTACGTTTTAAATGTTTTTAAATTTAAAAGTCCTGATAAAATAATAAAGCACCGCCAAAACTGTTATTACTATTGCTTCCTTCTCTTTTTTGTTTTAACACACAAATTTTAATAATCTATACCCAAATCCCTTGAATATATTTCCCACTAAATGACTTGAAAATTGTTTTCTAAATTAAGCCAACATTCTCTTCATTACACCTCACATTACCACTTATCTAAACAGTTTTTCGGTACCAATAAAGGTAAACTTCAGCAAGCACAGTTGGTATACAATGTATCCCAATTTTAGAATCCATGATGCTTTGCCACATACTTTTAAGAGAAACTTTTAACTTCGTTAAATGGAAATGTTTTGAAGTGGAGTATCTGGGAACAGGTACTTCAAATACATTGCAAGCTTGTTCAGTGATGTTCCGTGCGGGGCACTGTGCGCCACCTGCTTCTTCTCCTCCTGGACACCTGGTAGAAGTGCACTTCTCACTTCGAGCTGGGCACAGCGAAGTGACTGGCTTTGGCCAGTAGAATTACTTCAAAGTGGAGGCCTTCAAGCGCTTGAGCACAAAAGGTCCATAGTGCTCTCCAGAAGGTGGAAGCTCTGTTGGTCTTTCCCCCTGAACAAGCACACCAAGACCCAGAGTCCCCAAGCAACATGCGGCGTGACGTAGAAGGGACTGTGCTGTAAGAAACCATTTGGCAGAACCTGCTCCATCCTGGCCTCCAATTAACCAGGGATCGAACCTGCAACGTTTTGGCTGTGGGATGGCACTCCAATAAACTGAACCGCACTGGCCAGGGCTATCTCTTCGTGTTTTGACTACCTGTATTGTTTTATGCTTCGCCTGTTTATATTTGATGGGGAAGGTCAAGGAGCATTTTCTCCTGGGCCAGTAGGAAAGAAAAGACATCTGAGCCTCATCCCCAGCCTGATTCAGGAAGGTGACTGACAGACCACTTTTTCCACTCCAATCTCATGTTTAAGTTGTTTTCTCTTCTTGCATAACGTAGTTGCTTAATCAGGGTTCATCTGCTCTTACTGCTCCGTCACACAACTTAGATGCCTCTTTCCTGTCCATTAATATCTATAAATAAAATTGGCAACTGGTGACGGTGCCATCAGTATTTGGGAGGACACTCGTTCATGTTCCCCGGAAGGCCTGCTGCCTACTCTACTCACCGGGAAGCTGGCAGATCTACTAACTGCTTTTGCTTCCAGATTGAGATTTTCGTTTTCCCTTCCAAGTCCCTTGCGGCCTTTTCTTTTATAATGAAGGACCTGCGGCCCGAAGAGGTGAAGCTCATGGAAGCTGGGTCTGTGCTCGTACGAAGTTTTGCGACCAAGAGGGCAACGCCCCCTCCCCAGGACTGCAGCCCTCTGGTGCTCCCCTCCCCTGGTGAGCGTCCGGGTTCGGCGGCGCAGAACCGGTGACGGCTGCTTCCCGCCTGTTCTCCTTCCCCAGCGCTCGCAATGGTCCAGGCTGCGGCGGAGAGACTGGGGGAGACTGGGGGAGACGGGGGCAGGCTCCGCCTCAGCCGCTCCCATCTCGCGCACTCGTACCTCGACATCGGACTCCTCCATGACAAAAGCCTCCCTCTACAACCGCGTACACCCCCCCACCCCATGGCTTCCTCAGGCAGCCCCGTAGAGCAGTTCTTCAGCATCACCGGGTCCTCCGGCCCCTCTCTGCTCTCCCTGGTCTTTCACTCCTGCCTCCTTGCTTTGCCTCCAAACCAGCTCTGATCCCATGCGCCGTCATTTTAATCACTCCTGCCCAAACCCTAAATCTATATATACATTATCCAAGTCTGAAAACTGATAAATCTAATTTTAAAAAAGTCTACCTAGGCACTCAAAATAACATAAATACCAATATGCTAACCACTATAAATAAGAGAGATATATCCATTTACTTCCAGAAACAGCAAAGACAAGCAAATTTTATAATGCTTTCTATTCTTTGTAGGTAGTTCACATGGATCAATAAAACTTTCCCAGGAAAACACTCCACACATAGGAAGCCAATAAGATATATATTTGAGATATTTAGGAAAGTCCAATATAAATAAGGGAATGAAGAATGGGGTCAGTTCATAGAGGAAAAAAGACATCATAAATTATCTAAAATGAGGGTAAGTGATAACCGGAAATGGCCACATAAAGCAAATCCTTTTAAAACAGAGACCAAATTTCTTAATAAACAGTGGGAATAAAAAGTTTGATTGGGACATTCTCTTGAAAAAAATTACAAATAGTTGTTCTAGGGATAACTATGTGCTTATTCACAGAACATAAAAACAGTGAATCAAATGTTGCTTTTGTGGCAAAACATTTTCCAACAAATTGGATGACAGTCCAATTCAAAATCACTTCATTTTCACAGAGCAATCACAGAAAAGGTTTTTTTGTTTTTCTGTTTTCAAAACACGCCAAGGCTACAGCAAGCTGCCCAAATCATTCTTTTTAAGTCATTCTTGTTGGTTTTTCTCTCCTCCACTAAGAAACTGATCCATTCAGTCTTGTAAAATCCGAAAATCATCTAGGAAGCTTAACACAAAGAAGGCACAGGCCCAGACAGATGCACAGGCTAAGAAAAGAGGCATTTTGAATAGGGACTAATTTTATAAGTGGTGTATCCATGAATATTTTGCTTTCCTACATCGCTCCGCTGGTAACCACATAACTGCAGGGACTTGAGTAATAAATTCTCAGCTAATGAGAACCCCCTGTATGTATACTTATATTACTGTCTATGTGACAAGACAGGACATATATCTTAGTCTGACTATCTTAAAAATATGTAAAATGTATCTTGGTCAGGACCACGTCACAAATGATTTTTTAAAAAATTGCAAGAGGATACTGTACCAAGGTTGTGAGGGAGTTCCTTTTCATATACAGTCTCTCCAGGTACTGTAGCCCTTCATCTTTCAGTAACTCCAGCGGGAAATGGTGCAGATTCCTATAATTTAAGAATAGATTCTTGTGCTTTTCCAGCCTTGCCACAGAGATCGTCTTACACAGTTCGGATGCCATGACTGAAGAGATCCCATCAGGCACGATGCAGCACTACATCTTGTCAGAATTGGTCCATGTCTAGAGAGGAAAAAGAAAATCGAATATGTGTAGTACTGCGTACAAGCATTGCTAAATAAACCCGTTAGCATGCAGAGCGATTTGCAGACACTAAAAAGCGTTATACATTAGATCCCTATATTTTTCTTTCACAGTAACTAAACTTGCCACGCATATTTAGAAGGAGATTAAATTAATAACTATGTAATAAAAATACACTCACTATTTAGGCAATATTCATTACTTAGTAAAAATAGTCCTAACTGAAAAACGAATAGCCTTGAAATTGAGATCAGAATCCCTCGGAGAATAGAAACCAGTTGCATAATGGGCAACCAAAGAAAGACCTTAAAAATCAAATATAGCAAACCATTTCTTTCTTGAACTACCTCATTTTGTATTTAACTTATTTTAAAAATATTTAAATATGTATATAAAATATATCAAGATCATTGACAGCTTGATTTTTTCCACTTCTTACTATGTTAATATTGTCCTATATACTAATGTTTTCTATTTTTAGTCTCTTCATTCTTTTTTTTCTTCTCATCTTTGCAGATCATCAGAAGGAGCAGGGAAATAGGTCTAGGAAGCAGTTTTATTTTATTATTTCAATGAAAGAAGAAATATTGCACTAGGAAGTAAGAATGCTGTAGTAGTCTATTAAAATTTCTCTGGGACTCAGTTGCCTAATATGTAAAATAGAGACAGCAATTTATTGGTAAAAGCCAAAACCCAAAACAGATTAATTTTCCTTCTAGCTCCAAAACTAACAAGGATAGGAAGAGAAATAACATTTGCCATCATATCAGTAAGGCATAGGGAAGAAAAAAACTTCCCAATCACTTAACATTAGAAGAAACAAACTCAGAGCTTCAATAATCTATCCAAGGTTGAATAGCTCATAAAGGACAATAAAAGCAAAGTCTGTCCACTCCCCCCACATCCCCCGTGGGAAGATGGGAAGGTCCAGTGTATTTTCAAAGCCTGGGTTCTTGACATACACAGACTCACAGGATTCCACAGGATGCTAAGAAAACGCTAAAACTAAAAAGAAGCTGAGCTTGGTTCAGAGTTGCCCCGCTGTGTTCTTGGACACCCTTTTCTAACCTCTCTACTGGAAAGAACCTTTTAAAGAAAACTTTTTTCTTAAGAAAAATGACTTTTACTGGGAGTTAACACCCAGGTAGTGTAAAATGTAGGAACATGACTTTCAAACAGCAGAGTTTTATAACCTTTTGCTTATTTTCTATTATTTCCAAACTCTTAATTCCTAGCTTACAAGACAGCACTTGCCATTTTATATAAAAGGGCAGAGAATATGGAATATTCTATCATATCCCAATGCATCATGAGAATCCAATACTTTCCCATAGTTATGCTACCTACTGACCTATTTTTAGGAGATCTATTATGTGATTGTGAGCAAGAAACTCAAATCTTTCCACATCTTTATTCTCTCAGCTGTAAAGCAAGGAGAACTTCAAACGTAGCACACGCAAAAGAGTGCTTCCCCCCAACTCCCAGAAAATCCTCCTTTTTCCCGTTTAATAGCGCGCTTCTCCGTCCACCAGCTGCCCAAGCCGGAAGGCTGAAAGTCATGAATGATTCGATCCGTGATTCACCTACCACCTCCAAGTTATCAAAAGGGCATTGGTTCCCATCTCCAGAATATATCTCAAACCCACCCACAATTCTCCATCAGCCCAAACCCAAAAGCTACTGTCATCTCTGGATACCTCTCTGTGTCCACTCTCGCCCCTTTCTAATACATTCATCACTTAGCAGTAAGCCTATGAAAACGCAAATCCAACGGTCTCCCTCTCTCTCTCAGGCAAACTGGCTTTTTGAAGGAAAGAAGTCCTTCAAAAGTTTATTTAGAAACTCAAACTCTGACCAGGCTATCACTATCGGACCTGCCCGTCTCCAGCCTTATCTGGTAGCCCTGTCCCTGGCTTCTCACCAAGCGCCAACGCTGCTCCAGCCCTTAAAAGTGCCCTCCTCTCAGCCCGGAAAGCACTCTCCCATCATTCCCTGGGTTTCAATGTAAAAATCACTTCCCTATCCCAAACTAAAGTTATTTCAGAGACACCGATTGATGGTTTTTTCCCTTCGTAGGACTTCTCACAATTTGCAGTCTCTGTATTTATCAGTGTATTTGCTTATTGTCAATCTAGCGGTGAGGCTGTAAGTTCCTGAGAGCCGAGATCGGGAGGTTGGTGTCACTCTTGTACATCCGCCTCTGGCACCAAGCAGGCCTTCCAACAGCTGATGAATGGATACAACCAGGACATGTGAGTAATACAATACATAGAGTAAGTCCTCTGTTAACACCTTAGATAGGTTCTGCGACTTAAAGTGAAACAATACAGAAACCGATCTTCCCATAGGCTAATTGATGCGAACAAGAGTCAAGTTCTCCTGGAGCACCCGGCCTTTTGGGCCACACTGGAAGAAGAAGGAGTTGTCTTGGACCACACGCTAAATACATTGTGACGGTAATCACCAAAAAGTCTCATACTGTTTTAAGTAAATTTACGATTTTGTGTTGGGCCGCATTCATAACCAAGCTGGGCTGCAGGCGGCGCGGGGGCCACAGGCTGGACACCCTGACAGCATCTCATCCCCCTTATAATGAAATGACACTGGACAAAACAATGTTATTCGAGGATCTGCAGTATTGCAAGCGTGGGGTTTGTTTTTTTTCCTTCTCTGATCTAAGGTCTGCCAGTGGATACCATAAACTAAGAGCTTGCTCTATGCCATAAAGAGCCCTAATGCTTCCAACTCTGCCTTGCAAGAGACATTATTCACCCCATTTCATAGACGAGGGAAACTGAGTTTCTCAGAGGGGAACTTGACAGGTGGATCCACTTTGAAGCCTGCACCTGCCCAACCAGGCAGCTGTTCTTGCAGTGCCTGCATTTCACGGGGGCCTGTGCGACTCCCTACTGTTATTTAAGTGATAGGCACAGCTACTATAAACGTAGGACTACAAAGCGCCACACTCTCTGTGATAGGAGCAGCAATGACAGAATTCACTGGAACCTGATGGCTTTGCTTTGGAATCCCCTGGCTGGGACTGGCTGCCCTGTTAAAATACAACTTGTTACACGGGCCATTTAAGAGGTAAAATCTACCCAACTGAAACCCGAAAGACGCCAATAATAACCGATGCGAATGGTTTTCCAATGTGCCTTCACTGGCACTATACATCCTCTACTGGGTGTTTTTCTTACAGATTTCCATCACTACCTCTTACCTACAGTTAGAAGTAAATGACCTACTCCGTACGAACTGTATCCAAGTGCACCTCCCACGAGCTGTCTGACAGGTTAACACCAACCCCCTTTATTTATTTATTTAAAGAAACAAAACCTTTCTTCTTAAGAGTATTTCACACATTTTAGGCAGGCGCGTCCTAAAGCGGGGGAGAAAAGGAGTCCCTCGGACTGACTTCAGTACTTAAGGCAGAACACCCCGTCCGATCTCCTAATACTGGACAGAGGATTGAAAAGCGTACATTTAAGGTTATTTGCTCAGAAGCCCTGACAGAGTCTTAGGCAAAACACATGCCGCTCTGCGCGAGTTAACCAAACGCTGAGGTCGTTACAGTTTGGCAGCAGCGAGCCCCGTGACAGGGGTTTCACAGACCCAGCGACCCTATCCTCAGGGCGAGGAGGGCCCGGCAGCTGTGCGGACCCGAGGCCCGGCCATGCCGCTCGCCCCGCGGTCCACCCACCGCGGCCCGGACGCATTTGCCGGACCCAGGCTGGGAGGCGGGGGCCGGGAGAGGGAGCCTCGCCACTTCAGCCACCTGAGACGCCTGACAGCCACACTCACCTCCGCGCCGGCGGAGCCAGAGCTCTGGGGAGCAGGCTGCGCTGGACCGCAAGCCGAGGGACGCCGGGCGGGGCGGGGCTGGGTGCTGGGCAGGGGGCGGGGCAAGGCGCGGGCCGTGAAGGGCGGGGCGGAATCCTACTACCGAGAGCTAGGAAAGAGGGACGGTGGAAGGAGTAGGAACATCGCGATAATTCCACCGCGTTCTCGCGGCTTCACAATAGGTTGGGCAAGAGGCTTGTTTTCCCAGCAATGTGGCCATTGGCCGAGAGCATCGCTTCCTACAAATTGGCCCCGCCCACCTCTGACCCTTGCTTCCGGCTCCGTCTGGGGGCCTGCTGTCGAGAGAGAGTGGCTTGTTGCTTTTGCAATTTGAAGGTGTAACTTAGCCGGCTGCAACCTCAGGAACCACCATAACTACTCTGTGCTTTTATTCACACAATACATTCATGCAGGCATTCGTGCTCTCATTGAATGCCTACGCAGAGGGATTACAGCAATAACACCCGAGCGCTTGTTGTATTCCATGCAGCGTTCTAAATGCTGTGCGTAGATTACCTCTTTTAACTCTCACTGCAATCCCATGACACAGGTACTATTATTATACGCATTTGACAGATGAAAAACTGAGGCCAGGTGGGTTTACGTAACGCGACCAAGGTTAGTTGGCAAGTCGTGAGCCTGAGCACAGGATTTAAGTTCTCGCTGTGCGCGCTGATAGGTTCAAAGATAGGGGGTAATCTAGTCTCTGCTTTGAAGTACGTATTATGAGGGACGATCGCTAAAAAGGACAGTAACAACTTAGGCGGTGAAATATTGAGACATTCCTAGCATGACTGAGTAGGCCGTGAATAAATATTCCTTTCAAGACGAAAATTTCTATATCACGGGATGGAGGCGTCAAAGGAAGAGAGTTTTATGCTATTTTTTTTTTAAATCCAAGCATTGTTAGGGAACCTTAAAACCCCAAAACTTCATGTCAACTTTCCTTTTTGAAATGAGGTTTTTTTTTTTAAAAAAAAATTCATCTCATGAAACTGCTGTTATTTATTGTTCTTTGTAAAGCTTGATGTTGATTGATTGACAGTTTTACGTTGTTTTATCTAATTACCGTTAGAGAGGAATACCCTAGAAAGCAGAGTTACGTTAAATAAAAACAAAACCTATTCCAAAACAAGGTATGAGTTACAATGAAATACCAATTTTCTATTTACTAAACCTGGTCTTCAGAAGTTATTGAAGTATATAGCATGGTATATGGCATACACGTCTAAGACCATTTTCACAGGTTTCTAAATACCTAAGAGCTGTGAACAGTATTTAGGAATTTTTTGCTAGACTCAAAATGAGGAAACCTGCAGTTTGTGTAAAAACAAAATTCTTTAGGGTATTAAAAGTCAACCCAAATAATAAGAATTGCTCCTAATATTGAAGAGCCAAAAAAAAAAAAAAAGGATTAACAATAGAACAATTTCTTAAAAAGTAATCAATGTTAGCTTCTTGTTTTCACTTATTTAAAAAGGAAATATTTTAATGTATTTTAATTTAACATCTAGTATTTTATCATGAAAAATGAATTATCATAAAATATTTTCTACCCCCCTGAAATCAACACGTAAGTGGCCAAGGGATTCTGTATTAGTATAGTTAGTAATTCTATGACTAACTTAAAACTTCTCTAAATCTGTCGAGTGTCAATTTTCACATGTTACCTTACTCAAAAGAAGGTATGGGGTTAGGGGAGACACTCTACGAAGTGAGCAATCTTTGACAAACTACCACTTTAAGAAAATTCCAAGGAAAAGACACCCCCGTTTTAAAATTCCCACCTCTGGCTCCCAAGGATTGGGTTACAAACTGCGCCAAAATATTCTTCCCCACTTCCTATTGGTGCATGCTCTGTCATTCATCCTTCTGCCCGGAGTTTTGGGAGGTACTCGGTGGCTTCCCCGGAAAAGGTTTCTTTGCTTTAGTCTGAAACTTCCCGCCTTCAGACTTTTTTGATGGTTATCAAACTAAGCAAAGAATCACCGAGCGAACCAGTCTGGCGAATCAGGTCGTCGCGACAACTGTGATTCCCTGGAAAAAGAAACGGAGAACCTCTCAGGCGCTCAGGGTAAATGGACAAAGGATTTTACCATACAGAGATGTGAGAGCTGAAACTTTTCCAGTATTTCGTTAGTTTTAAAGAAATAAATGTTGAGGGAAAACCAGATAAAATACAGGCACGATCTAAGAGTGGCAGAAAGGGGGGTTTTCAGAGGGTGTTTTTTTCTTGAGTGTGGGGTGGGAAGAACATTATTCACAGATTAGCAGTGGGTTTGGGGATGGTAAAGGGAACAGGTAATATTAATTACAGATTATTTTATACTCTAAGAAGCTGTAATTTTGTTGCCTTAATATGGATTTAGAGGGACACTTAGTAATGTGTTTATCAAGTGAAAAAGGTATTTTTGTTTGTATATTATCATACTTGGCATCATAGACAAGCCATTTATTAAGAGACAATTAGAATCACCTTTGGATTCAAAGGTGCATATTATGTATGTTATGTATATTTTTAGATAAGGAGATTCAGGGGCATATCTGCTAATGACCTAGCAAAACATAGTATTGGTATATGAAGTGTAATCAGTCAGTAATTAATGATGAATTTTCAAAAATGAAAGTTGGCATTTATACAAAGTTTTCAAAAATGACATTTTTATTAAAACTAATATATAAAAGTTCAGGAAAATATTGATAAACAAGAATAACATATAAGGGTGGGGCAAAAGCAGGTTTACAGTTGTGAGTATACAAAACACAGAGTTTATTCTTGTATTATTATGTATTAAATACTGTATTATTTTCCATGCAAACAATTATGAACCTATTGCCCCCCCACCTGTATGAAAACATATTTGAAAAAGCAACACAATTTTTTTTTGTAGGATCCATCCCAATACATAATTTTGAAAAATAGCATCTTAGAGTCTTCAGACATTCATTTAGCTAGTAAATATAATACTTCATGGCACTTTACAAGGTCAAACTCAGAGCAGGTATGCTTGAGGAGCCTCTGTTAATCTATATAGGCGGATCTGAAATAATAAAATTCAATCTTTCGAGAAGCTCACACTCTAGTTGGAGGGAGGAGACTCAAAGCATTTAAAAGGAAACTTCTGGACAATTCCTTAGGCGAAGATGACTGTTAGAGTCAGGCCACAGGTGCTCCGGTGCTCGGATCAGGGTGAGCTGACGTATTCAGAGAGAGCTCCCCAGTAGGGCTAGGACCCAGTTTGGGCCTGAGCAATGGGCAGAATCCCAGGAGATGGAAAAGCAAGGAAGTGGCCGCCTAGGCTAATGGGTGAGTTGTTGGCCCGTATGTGTAGTCTAAAGAATTGCTGGTTCTGACTGCAACAGAGAGTTCATTGGGGGGCCTTGGTTTAAAAAAAAAGCATGAGAAATTACATCAAGGAGCTTAGTCCTAGGTTTTGAGCAGGAAGGAGGCCTTATGAACGTAATATTTGAAAAAGATAAAACTAACGTTGCAATTTAAGGTAGCTCCCAGAGCACAGACTGGAAGCGAAGGGGCTAAATACTATAAATAACAGAGTAAGAATTAGTTGCAGCCTTTTAAGACATTTTATCCAAATACCGTTACTTTCACACAGTGGAATAACATAAATATGCATTACTTTCTATTTTTCTAAAGCATCGAACTTATTTTTTTTTTAATTTGGCACCACACATACAAATCGTATTAGATGTGGTAGTAGTTGTACAGTTTGAACAGGAAAAGCGGCTGTTGTTCAATGAGTTCTTGCTCCTTTTCCCTCAGAATTAAAGTGTGTTTCTTGGTTCTATTTAATTGAATTCCTTTTAACCTAAAAAACGTTATGACTGAAGAACACAGTGAGAAGGTAGGAGGTAGTATTCATACGCAGACTGTAGTCTTTTCCCCCGCCTGTTTCTCTGAGACAAAACTGAATTCTATACTTGAATTATATACTTGAGGAGTTTCTACCAATGACCAGACAAAACTATTCTCAGTGTTGGGCAAACAAAGGTGAATCACAGACCATCTTCCAAAAAGCAAAGAGCTTCAGGCACACCAAATACCCAGGGCGTCTGGCTCCTGCTTCAAAACTTGCTTTAGAGAAGCTGAAGCTCATCAGTCTGAAGTTTGCCATCAGTGGTCCTTAATTAGGTGGATCGAGAAAGAGGAAGCTCTGGCTTTGGGAGAGAACTCTGAGACAGAGCCCGCCAGTGACCAGTGTGGCTGGCTGCAGTGGTCACCAAATACCCCATTTATTCTTGAAAGGCTTTATTTCATTTTTTGGGTGGTTTTTTTGTTTTTTGTTTTTTGGTCTGTGAGTGGGTGGGTGGTTGGTTGGTTCTTTGGTTATTTCAGGCAAAAGAATGAATCTTGTCCCTAGATTGCACATGGAAGTTTAGCAAGTTTTTTTTTTTTTCCCCCGCTTCAAAGTCAGTTGGAGTTGAGCTGATCTAACGTGAGCTCTGAGAGTTGTTTGGGATTGGCTGAGTTCTACTGTATATTATATATACATATTCTATATAACATATATACATATTCTGTGTGTGTGTGTGTATTTTAATGAACAAAGAATGTTTGCTTTAAACTGGAAATCAGTCTGAAAGTTTTACAAAGAAGTCAGTACTAGTTAACCAGGACTTGGGGCGGACAGAATGCTACTATTTTCAAAGAAGTCATGGATATAGTGTTGAGATTTTCCTAGAGCCTAGCCTCAATTTCTGGGGGGTGGGGGGGTGGGGAACGAGTATTTCTAAAAGCAAACATGAAAATTATCATTGTACGCCTTTATTTTCTTATCTAAAAATCAGAGGAGGATGCGTGTAAAAATATGCAAGAATCCCAGGAAACACACCTATCCAACCACTTAGATGAAGTCGTTGCCGCCGTCAGTGTAACGCCGAGAAAGAAGACCCCGAACAAGCTGCCTCAGACAGCGCTCTTCCAGCCTCCTCGCGAGAAACTCCACCTCTGTGAAAAGAAAGCCAAGTCCTACTCCAGCAGGCGCGAAGTAAGGAGGCTTCCTTTCCCGTACCTGTGCTCTGGTAACGTAGACGTGCAGTGGCTTTGCTGAAATTCCTCCTCTCTGGAGTTTGGTACGAGAAAGTGTATGGGAAAGTACATGGGCCACAGCATGGCAATGAGCATATGTTTGAGTGAATGAGAGCACAAATGAACACAAGCGTCTGGCCTGACTTGGGTGTATACATGGCTGGTACCCTGTAGGCTTGACCTACGACTCTCATTTTCCATCAGTCGGTACATATGATTGAGCGTCTCCTCTGGGCCGGATCTGGGCACTGGACTACAACACAAAGCAGATGAAGCTTCTGCATTCAGATCCATGCTATTGCAAATGGCAGAATTTCCTTCTTTTTATGGCTGAACAATATTCTGTTGTGTGTGCGTCTGTATACACATTTTTTTATCCATTCATCCATCAACAGACACTCAGGTGTTTCCGTGGGATGCGGGCAGGCTTTAGTGGCACCAGGCAGGAAATGAGGTTGGTTTACGAAGAGGAACTGAGGCCTGGATGATTTTCAACGTCCAGGGAGAGAGTTCAGTTTTTTCTCCTAAAGGGGTAAGAAACTATCGCAGGACTCTAAGCAGGAGAGCACCATGAGCGGGTTTGAGTTGCTGGAACAATCGCTCAGCTGGCTGGGGAAGAGAGCAAAACTGAGGGAGGGGGGCCGGTGCAAAGGATATTCGCAAAAGTCCCAGCAAGGAGCTACGAGAGCCTGAACCACAGCAGAGACAGGAGAGATGCTGGGATCTTTTGACAGGAATTTGAAAATGCGAACCAGTGGGCCCTTGTGACCGTGGGGACGTAGGGGACGGAGAGTCCGGTGCAAACCGGAACGAGCGTGTACAGCCTCTGACTCTGGTCTCAGGTGGCTTGGTGACCAGATGTTCTCTGGCTCTTTGTCTTTCCAGTGACTATGGAGGAAGAGCCGCATTAGGGAGAGAGGGCATGAATCCGGTTTTGAACACTTGCTTATTCATTGTGCAACAGATATTTATTTAGCACCCGCTGTGCGCCAGGCCTTGTGCTACGTACACCCACGTTGGCAGCCTTTCTCAGCTGGAGTCCTGCTAGAGAATTAAGCCCTCCCGCCCCAAACCGATCTTTGTCCGTTTTGTTTTCTTATGTATCCCAAGTGCTTAGAACCGAGTCTAGCACGTAGTAGGCACTCAACAAATACACAGTGGATGGATAAAAGTAGAAGGCAATTTTGTGCTTTGTGGCAGCACGTTTTGGCTGTCTGAGTGGTCAGCTCGTTTTCCTCTTCCTCTCAGTACAAGCAGGCGATCCAGGAGCTCGTGCGCTGCGTAGCGTTGACAAGGATCTGCTACGGCAACTGCCACTGGAAGCTGGCCGAGGCCTATGTGAACCTGGCTCAAGGCTACCTCCAGCTGAAAGGTGAGCTCGGCTCAGGCTGAGGACGTTCAGTCCATTGCTTTCTACTCTTTCCCCAAACTGGGACTCACGCTTATTTCCAAGGATTAGGTTATCTTGACCATTCTCCTCTCCACACATGGTGAAACCACGTCCTTTCAGAAAGAGTAAGATTTCTTTATATAATATATAAAAAAAAGAAGGAGCACTTGAGCCCTCTGGAGTTTTGTATTTCATGATCTTAAAAGTAGGCCTCTTGGGAGAGAATGAATGTGTTAGCTTTGAACGCACTGTAGAAAGGGCCCGGGGCTTGGAGTAGGGGCCTAAAGGGAGGATCCATTCAAATTTGTATTGATGGAGAGACTCTTGTCTATAGATAATCAGCCCCTGCAAAATAAATAAAAGACTAAACCAAGCTGGCATCAACAAAGGGCAATATATGGGCGCGTGCAACTCAACGATCCAAGGGTAAAATCTATTGTGGACTTGATGAGATTCAGGGGTTCCCACAGTGTGATCAGTTTCCAACTTGGGTTGTATGTCAAAGGGAAGGAATATTCTCATCGGCAAAGACCTGCCTTTTGGCTCATGGATCCAGGGGGAGAGACCAGCGTTGACTAAATCACGTGGATCATCTGAGAGAGGGACCAGGTATCCATCCCCCCCACCAAAAAAAAAAACCAAAAAAGACAGAAAAGGAGAATGGATAGGGGGAAGGTACAAACAAGGGTATCATGTCCTTTTTTTTTTTTTTTTTTTTTTTTTGCCTGAGACTAGACAGCCTCTCTGTTCTTTGTCTCTCCATCTGAAAAGTAGCGATGGTGATGATGCTCATCCTAAATTCCCAGGATGGGTGCAGTGAATAAAGAAAAGAACAAGTGGGAAACACCAGAATGCTAAGCATAGAATTGCCACCCAATAAATTCTACCCATGAGGTAAAAGACTGTTAGCGCTAGAGGGGACCTGGGCGGTCACCTAGTTCAAAGCTTTCAGCCCCTCTCCTAGTTTTTAGAGCCAGAGGAGAGGAGTCTGAGGTGAAACAGCGTGGCCCGCATCACATGGCTCATATGCGGATGATCTGAGACTCAGCCCTAGGATTTTGGATGCCAGTTCCAATGTCCTGGCACCTGGGATTTCAAATGATGCTTTCCTTCCACGGTTTGCCACCTGTCTGCGCGACAGTCTTTCTTTCTCCATTTAAAGTAAAAGCAGTATCTACTATTTACTGGGATCTTACTGAGTGCCAGGTACCATGCTAACTAGTTTCCATGACTAACCTCATTGTATCTTCACCCCAGTCCTATAAGGAGGGTAATATTATTATCCGTGCTTACCGCTGAGGGGGCTGAAGCCGGAGTTCCAGGGAAGGCAGTGGAGCAGGGACTCATGCCGGGCAGTCCGACTTCGGAGCCAGGGTCCTTGAACCTCAGCCCACGCTGCCCCCGGGAGACTGGGTGCGAGGTACTTGAGGGAAAGGACCAAGGCTGACGACACTGTCTACTGTGTCTTTTACAATATTGCACACAAAACTGGCAGTAAGACATTTCTGGCCGGTCGATTGAGCATGTGCTTTTGAAAAATAAGATAAAATTCTGTAAGAGCTTCCCCAAATGTTCACCATCAGGAAAATATATTCTTTCTGTTCTATAAAAACAGGAGCAGAATTAACTTTGTAGTTGGACAGCTTTTATTTTAGAACTTCGGGATATAATTACATATAATGAATGACCTAGGACCTGCAGAGTGTGCATGTGGGTGGAGGGGGATGTGGCGGGGGCGTCCGTAAGGGGATGGGAGGGCGGGGCAGTGAAAAGCCCTGAAAAATCACTGGGGATCCCCAGTGTCACTCTTACCATCAACCAATGAGAACACTTTGTCGCCATCAGGAATTAGTTCTTGGCAGGGACTGTTTTTTTTTTACTCCATTTTGTTTAATGTTAGTCTGTTACCACATAGGAATAAGAGATGGCAGCACATTGACCTATCACTTCATTGGAACCATTACATTTTTGTATATATCACTGTACGAGTATTATGTTAAAGTAACTCTCCCAAGTATGATTCTGGATGGGTAAGCAGAAGATTCAGGATTTTTAGTGTTTCATTAAGATCGCTGTCACAAGGCCCAGATTAAAATTCATGAATAGCTTATTTCCTGCCCAGAATGCTATAATGATAAAAAAAAAAAAACCCACATTCCATTGTTTTTTTATTATTATTTAGAGCATATTTTATGTCTGATATTGGTGAGGTTTCAAAGCTGTTCAATTCCTGTTCTATTTCTAAAAAGACCATTTTGGACAAAAAATTTATTTTGAGGACTGGGGTGTGGAAATTGCATCTTCAGGACTAGGTATAAAGCCCTACGGTTGTCACAGTCATGAGAGTATTTCCTGCCGCCCCGATACTTCCCTATGTGTCACTGGACAATAAAGGGGAGACCTCAGCAGGTGCCCGGACCACGGATAACTCTCTTCTTGTCCACTGAGGTGGCAGAGATACTCACACTTCTTTCTCCTTGTCCACAGGACTGGCACTTCAAGCAAAACAACATGCGGAAACAGCCAAAGAAATCCTCGCCAACTCCATCGTGCCTCCCTGCAACGATAATACCGATGTTTTCCGGTGTTCCGTTGAGCTCTTTCATACCATGGGGAGAGCTTTACTCGCCCTTCAAAAGTATCCTTTTGCCTCTCCTTACAAGTAGAAATACCGCTCATGTTCCTGACATTTAATTCTCAAGGCCAAACCCAAAACTGACAGATGACTCGGGACGGGTGATGGGAAGTGTGAGAGCCGAGGGGGTCCAGGGACGAGGGTCCCAGCATCTAGAACCCAGGGTACAGTTTCCTGAACGCCATGCAGATTTAAGGAAGCTGCCGAGAACTTGACGAAAGCAGCGAAGCTTTCGAAGGAGCTGCTGCAACGTGGGAGGATCGTCAAGGAAGAGTGGGTTGAAATCCAAGCGCGGGTCAAGCTGTCGTTTGCACGGTGAGTTTCCTGGTTGGGACTTCTTGTGTGCATGATGGCTGAAGGCCCTTCCACCAGAAGGCCCTGTCTCTGGGCAGGAGGACCTTCTCCACGAAGCTGTGTCTGGTTCTTTTACGGTCATGACAATATTTCCTGCTGCCCAGACCCATCTCCGTGTGTCACTTGACAATAAGTGTATAGTACCTACCTCACTCTGTCGCTTTTTCCCATTCAGCATTGTTTTCCATGGCTGCCTGTACCGTAGTTCATTGCTGCTGGCTGCTGCTCAGTGCTCCATGGAATGCATTTGCCACATGTACTTAGCCGTCCCCAGCTTCCTGCTCCCCGAACGGTGCCGCCATGAACACCTTTGCCCAGCTCCACTCATGTAGCTAAGATAGACCTCCTGAGGTCTGTACCCCAGGGGTAGGATTGTACGGTCACGGGGCACATTTGTACTTGAAGTTCACTGCGCAATGGCCAATGCTACGCCCCGCCCCCACCCAGGACCGGTGGGCTCCTGTTTTCGCACATCCACAGCAGTATTGGACATTGTGTGTCTTTCTAACCTTTGCCAGCCTGCCGCGTATAATGTGCTATGATGTGCTATCTAATCATTTTTACATTCCTCTTATTAGTGACCTGGAGTACCTCCTCATACACTTCCTAGCCTTTTGGGATCCCCCTTCTCTGAAGAGCCTGCTAGTATTCTTTCTCATTTTTCTTGTGAGACTTCCTCAACGTTTCTCGTTGATAATCAAGATTTTATTGTGTATTATAAATTAGTGCTATTGCAAATATTTTCTTTTATTGCCCATTTATTAATTTTGTCTGGGGTATTTTTCATGGCAGAAAAATTCTTATTTTTGCGAGAGTCAAAGCCACTAATTTTAAACCTAATAGTTTACACTTTAGGAGTTGGTTTAGAAAGTCTTTCCCACCCAAATGTCAAAGATATTTTCAAAACTGTCCCTTCAAGTCCTGCTTGACGCCTGTCCCACGTTTTAACACATAACATTATCGCAGACGTTAAGCTCTTTGTGTTCATAACTTAATGTATAAATTACTCTTTAATCCAGACATTACTCACATGGTGTGTGTTTTAGTTTGCAGTTATATGAGATTTTTCTGGGTGTTCAGATGTTACTGATTCCTGATTTTATTGTGTTATAGACAGGAACATCTTTGTATGGACTCTGAAATTTACTGACGCTTCCTTCCTGACCTAGTCCGTGGTCAATTTTCGTGCAGGTTCCAAGTGAACTATAAAAGAAACTTCATTCTTTACTCCTCGTGCGCAAGGTTGTCTGACTTTGGGTGGCCTTATTAAATCTGGTATTCAGATTTATATTTTTGTTTATCTTTTGCCAATTTGGTATATTAGTTTAAATTTTGACATGCAATTATTGGTCTACCTAGAGCTGTCCATGGTTCTGCCGGTCCTTGTTTTATACAGTCTGATCTGTTCTGTTGGGTCGGAGGTTAAAACAGCAGCGTATCTTCATAACTTGTTATTGCGTAGGTCAGTGTATATTGTCCCTTGTTCCTTATATCCATAGCTATTTTGCCTGATCTTAACATTGATAATTGACATTTTAGCTTTCTTTTCGTATACATTGTCCTAAAATATTTTTTCATCCCTTCATTTTCAATCTTTGTTTTATTGTTTTAATTACAGACATATTTGCATTTAAATTTCCTTTTCTCCCAGCAGTTTTATGTTCCTTTCTTTTTTCTTCCCTGTTTTTGGTATAGTCAAATATTTTTGTTATTTCATTTTTTTACCTGTTAACTGGTAAGTTATACATTATTTTATTTTTCTTCTAGTGAATACCATAGATCTTGTCAGCTGTATCTCTGACTTGTTAGACCCAGGTGGGAATTAGTCAACTAACCACTTCGTAAGCAATGCAAGGACCTTTGAGCATGTTAAATCTCTTTACCTCCTTCTGCTTTGTACATTTTTAAAAATTTAAATCACTATGTATTTCAAATGAAATAAGAACTACATGTCAATAAAACAATGACAAACAACTGAACAGAAATTTGGGCAAGAGACTTCTCACCAAAAAGTTTACCCACGTAGCCAATAAATATTAAATGGTGTTCCATCTCATCTGTCATCAGATACATGAAGTTTAAAATCATAAAGACACTACATTTCCACTAGAATGGCTAATTTTTTAAAAAGACTTTAGTTTTTTTAAAGACCTGGCAAAGATGTCATGTTCGTCTATGCTTTCTCTTACGTTGTTGTTTAGAACATATTTTGTGTCACTACTTCAGAAAATTGGCTTTACCTACCATATTTGAGAGCTGGCATGCACTGTGACCCGGCAGAATCGCTCCTAAATACACACCCCACAGAAGTGCATACACGTTCACCAAGAGACATAGCGAAGAACGTCCCAACGTGCATTCCTGGTAATAGCCAAGAATTGGAAACAACCCAAAAGTTTATCAGAAGTAGAATAGATAAAATTATAGTATGTTCATGCAAAGAAAATGGTCCAAGTACTCCTATGCTTAACATCATAAATGACTTTCACAAGCATTAAGTTTGTGAAAGTCGCCAGACCCTAAAGAATTCATTCTGTACGATTCCATTTATGTACCGGGAGGAAGAAGACAGTAAAGATGGTGCAAGTCTACCAGTCCAGAATTTCTCCCTTCCCAGAAGCAGGTCTTCTATCTTGCATTGTAAAATAGGAAGTATGCAAATCAGAGGTCCAAGATCTGATAGTTGTTGCCATCTGTTTAGCTCTGACTAATGTTATTTGTGCTTAATGTTGAACAACGTTGCTACAAAATAGAGTAAATTGTCTTCCTCTGCCAGAATCTGGCACCTCCGCTGAGTGCTTTCCAAACGAGCAGCGCCAAACCTTGCCAGCAGATGGCGTGCCTTGTACGCATTTGTGCCGACTGCCCAACATTTAAGTTCGGGTTCTCAGCTGTCCTACAAAGTTACCTTGTGTTTAGCAGAGGTGTTTCAAACTTTGCTAGCTTTTTCCCCATTCCTGAATCTTCACCCTGACCCGGTTGCTGGAACTTGCATATTTAAGCTGCTAGTTTTCATTCGCTCACTTGGCTTTGTTCCCTCACTGAAGTGTGAATGTTTTGCCCAAACTGATCTGCTGGAGAAAGTAATGATGCTTCGGTTTTGGCATCTCTGCGGTTATACTCACAACCGCAAAGGCCTTTTTTTTTTTTTTTTTTTTTTTTTTTTTTGCCAGGCCTTGGAGGTGGAAGGCCGGGGTAGTGTATCAGTCAGCTCTCGCGGAATTTGTGTTTCTCTTAAAAGGGTATCTTTTAGGCGCATCTCCGTCCATCTGCATTGCCTTTTATGGTGCCCATCGGGCCAGGCCAGCTCCTCTCCTCGGCCGACAGATGAGTGCTGCGGAGTGACTCACGCTCAGTGCCTTCCGCCCCCAGCTGGGGCCTGACGCGTTGTCTCTCCTACCTGTCGCCTCTGTTCCAGCGCCCCCTTTACTCAGTGGTTATTTATTTCCTTTGGAGAGAGTCCAGTCATGTCTTCCTAGTCCCACAGTTGTTTTAAATCGGGACAAGAAAGTCCCGAGGAAACGTTGAGCAAATTCTCCCTCGTGTTAATCACGTTCTCTCCTGGTTACTGATAGCTAGATCCCCAGAGGGGGCAGCTGTCTTTACCTGTACACCATTGCCGTGTGCACACATGATAATTAGCATGATCATTCTATGTGGCATGATTGCGCTGCACCCCCGACATAGCGGCTCTGCAACGCGTGGCCTGTGCGGGTCCCCTCTCTGGCTGCTGCTGTCCTCTTTGCCGCCTTCCGCGGCTTGTCCAGCGAGCCCTTGGCCTGGCTTTGCTGTGCTGAGCTGTCTCTTAAGGGCGCCTGTCCTGAGGACACTCTCCTCAGACCATCAACAGGATACTTCCCAGGAATCTGTAGGGCGTGGGTCAGGTAGCCCCAGGTTCAAATCGGCGTCCACTCTGCCTTCCTGTTACAGTGGAGCAATTGGCCCTCACTACTGATTGCACTGAGGATGAAGTGGGCCCCACGCTAACGTGTCTGGGGAGCCCACCCACATGGGAGGTCCTTAAAAAAGGAAAGTAGTTCTTACCCTGGGTAGGATGCTCAGCTGGTTAGAGTGTCATCCAGCTACGCCAAGGTTGTGGGTTCAGTCCCTGGTCAGGGCACATGCAAGCATCAACCAATGAATGCACAGCTAAGTGGACCAACAGGTCAACATTTCTCTCTCTGTCTCTCCCCCCACACCCACACCTCGCTCCCTAAACATCCATAAAGTGAAAAAAAGTAGCTATTATTATCATTGAACATTCTAGTTAAACATTTTCCTTTCTATGATTTCATTCCAGAAATGACTTGGATTTGGAAGCATGTCCTCACCCCACATTCAGATCCTGGCTTCAAAGACTGTACCCCCCCCACCCCCCCGCCCCCTAACATGCCATATTCTTTCCTGTATTTTTTTTTTCCTAAGACTCGAGAAGACTAAGCGTTTTTATCTTTGCACTTCATGAGCTGCCTAAGTTGAAAGTCGGAGAGTCTTATGTGTTTCTCTTTCAAGCTTGAGTTTGTTTCTTTGTCTTGCTTTCTCTTGACTGACTGTGGTCCTCAGGTTTGGAAAGCGATTCTAACAGCCGTTGTCCAAAGAGGAAAGAAGATGGGGGAGATTTCTCCCTGAGCCTGTACTTCCTGGAAGCAGGGAGAAGATACCGGGGGGAAAATGGCAAGTGGGACAGTATAGGCACCCAGTGTCACCTCGTTAAGATGGAATTTTATTTCTATTTGCTGCCCCACACAGCAAGCCCGCTGGCTTTTATTGGGGGTTTTCGAAACGTCAGTGATAGCCCTCACTTTCTGATCTCACGGTCCTCCCTAAAGTGGTGCAGTCGGTAATCTCCAAATCTCACTTTTGTTTTTCAGGCTCAGCCTTTTAAAATCTATCTCTCTGTCTGTTTATTAGTTTGAACCATCACCTGAAGGTCTGTGATGTCTCTGTTGCACCTCTATAGATGTATTTCCTGAATGAACCGCTTTCTCTGCATTTAGCTTTTGAGACGTAGAGGCTCTGTCACGTGCTCATGGGTTCGAAAGCCCTGCTTCTCCCTGTCTCGCCCCTGGGAAATGCCCTGCAGAAGAGTGTCCCTGCTCTCAGCGCCCCCCATGGGACACAGTGTGCCCAGAATGCCCTGAGCCTGTTCACCCAAGATCTGTTTCCTTGGGCACTTCCTCGCCCTATAGTCCTGGGGTTGAAGAGACGCTCTTCACTTACACTAAGATTGATTTATTTTTTAAAATCTAATTTTATTTATTTATTTTCAGAGAGAGGGGAAGGGAGGGAGAGAGAGAGAGAAAGAAAAATCAGCGTGTGGTTGCCTCTCGTGAGTCCCCTACTGGGGACCTGGTCCACAACCCAGGCATGTGCCCTGACTGGGAATTGAACCCGTGACCTTTGGGTTCTAAGGCTGGTGCTCAATTCACAGAGCCACAGCAGCCAGGGCTGAGTTGTTTGTTTGTTTGTTTGTTTGTTTGTTTCTTCATTTTTGTTTAAAGTGGGGAAGCAGAAAATCCTCTGCAATACCACAGGAGGCTGCATTTGTGTGTTGCATGTTAACAAAACCCCAAACCTGCCTCCATCCCTGTGAGATCCTCCAAAGCACATCTGAAATGAGACAGCATCTCGTCACGTGCTCTGTAAAATTACAGTGGATACAATTTCATTCAATAAAAGATGCCGTGGTTTAACTGTAGACCTTCCAAATGAACATACTGCCACATTCTGCTGTTTAAAATTCTCTGTCTTTTCACCTGTCTGGTGTTTCCGAAAGTGTTTGGATAGCTTTAGGATTACACATGATGGGCTACTACTGGCTAATAAACCCTCCAAGCATCCAGCAGATAGGCAGAAGTAAAAAGGAGAAAATGCCGCTCTCCCAAACCTTACATACAAGCGAACGGAGACAGACAAGATTACCTAAAACTGACCGATGCTCTAAGTGAATTGGCGATGGAGGGAAGACCACAATTCCATTATTTTCTGATAGAGTCCGCCCTCAGTTCCTTTTTTTTTTTTTTAATTAAATGTATTGTGAAGCTAAAGTAATTTTATTTTCTATTTTGTCTTTCCTTTGATGTGAACAGTGTACTCTCAGTGAGCGGCAGCAGGCTCCTTATAGACTGTATTAGCTTGAGAGCCTCCGTTCCTGGCTGTGGTGTTAATGCCCAAACCCCAGAATCACATCCAATAGCAGCTTCAAAGGGCGAGGCGTAGAAAGTGCTTCGTTCTTTGCACACACGACACAACAGAGTGTTGTGTTTGCTTATCTTTTTAACAGAATGTCTCAGGCATATACAAATATAGATATTGTTATGCCAATACTCATAGACATGGTACCAAGCTTCTCAACTAGAACATTTCAGATGAACAGAAGCCTGTTATGTGTTCTTCCCAAGCTTGTTTTCTTCCCCCCACATTCCAGGCAATTAGGATGCTGACATTAGTGTTTTTCATGCCTATGAATGTAGACATATATATATATATGTCTACATATGTCTATATATATAGACATATATATTTATATAGAGAGAGAATATACAGTATTACTTTTCATTTTTTAAAAACGTTACATGTTTTCTTCTGTAGCTTGCTTTTTTTTTTCATATTACTCTTGTATTTTTGAGACGTATCCATGTCAGTTGCTACGTACAGCTCTAGTCTCTTCCTTTTAAACCCCCTGTATTGTGCCTTATTCACCCGACTTCCCCCCATTTCATTGTCCGTTCTCACGAACCTGAGAGTAATGGAAATTGCTTCCAGACTTTCTCTCTCATAAACACGATTGGCCTGGTGACTCACACACGCTTCCCCTGTGGGCACATGTGCAGCGTTATCTCTGAGAGGGGAGCCCAGGAGCGAGATTGCAGTGGTCACACAGGATGAGAGGCGCCTTCTGAGCAGAGGAGCGTCACAGTTCTGGGGGGCCCAGGGGGGTGTTCACAGAGGCACCCCGCTTAGACTAGGGTGTCGGAGAACAGAGCCAGGCTCCGGTGAGGGAGCCAGGTCCCCAGGGCATGCTATTTAAGGAGCCTTGGGAACAAGGGACCTATTCTTTACTTCCTTGGCACATGCTTCATCCTTTATGAACGGGAGAAAGGGAGACGATAATTTTTTCTCCCCGTCACTCAAATATCTGTGTCATTATCTGAGGTCTCTAGGCTAAATGAGGTGGACTAAACCGGCGCCCTTTTGAAAGTATGCGGCTTTCTCTAGATTCTGGACCAGAGGTTGGCAAACTTGTTCTGCTAAGGCCCACAGAGTAAATATTTCAGGCTTGGTAGGCCATATGCAAAAGTAGCCTTGGACAAAATGTAAACAAGTGGGCGTGGCTGTGTGCCAATAAAACTTTGTTTATAAAAACAGGGAGTAGGTCAGGCCCACAGGCCATGGTTTGCTGACTTCTGTTTTCAGTTACATAATCTTTGTCTACCAGAAATCTCATTCTCTGGCTAAGTGATTTGTTGCCCTCCATATGTTTCAGAGCTTCTTTCTGTCACCAAAGATGCTAGCAGGTTTTCTCTCTAGAAACAAAATAACGATGCTTACCAAGCTGATCATTACATTCTATGCTTATTGAGAGTCAGAAGGCAAGCCCCGTACTACTAGATCACCTATTAATCTCTTCCTTTGCAAGACTGGAGTTCCTACAAGCTGCCTGCTTGGTCCAGGAACCTAGCCCTGACCTCCTCCCGTGTTCTTAACCTCTTTACGTTGTAGACGGTTTCTCAGTTCATAGGCTCTTGGGGCAGCCTTTTATTGCATCACGGCCGTCTGATCCACAGAGCTGAGCAATGTCTATATTTCTTGTCAGTCATTCCTTTGAAATTTACTGAAGAGCAGAGTTAGCTGTAAAAAAACATTCAATGCTCGAGTTGAAAACAAGACCGGTTTTTGCATAGTCTCTCACTCACCGTCTCAAGGTGCGTCTCAGTTTACCCCCAGGCGGCCTGGGAATCATGAGGCCTTTTCATAGTCCACATTCCGGGGTGGTGAGCAACAGAGAGAAGGATGGAGGTGTTTCGTTAGGGATTTTGTACAGAAAAATTTTCCAGCAAAAAAGAAAAGGTTTCTAATAGTCTTAGTCAATATTTTGGAGAAGACGGTTTTTACATGTCTTACTGTGTTTGCTGCAGGACATTTTTTTACATGAGAGTCCTGTCTCAAGAAGCCACAAGAATTATTTTTCCGCTGCCACCATCACTTATAATTTTTAAATTTATGTTTTTTCTGATGTAGAAGTTTATAGTTTTATAGAAGAAAATTTAGAAAGCATAAACAAGAAAGGTAAGGTTACACACAAACCAGCCTCTTACAGATAACTATTGCAGATAACATCTTACTGATCATGTAGATATTTCTCTATGCTTTTGTGTACATATATATTAGATATAAAATTTTTATGTGCATAATATATTATACAAAGTATTTTTGTAATTTACCTTTCTGCTGAAAATATATATATAGTGGATATACTTTTATTCTGATAAATATGGATCAACATTAACTGTAATGGGTGTCATGCCATCGTATGGATGTATTTACTGTAACCTGTTTGATGATCGCCTGTTAGTGTATTTTATGTGCTTTGTACTTTTCCACCATTACAAAGAAAGCTTAGGTAAACATTCTTATATAGATAGCTTCTTCTCTTGCCAGAATATCTCTTCACGATAAACTACTATTAAGTGCAATTAATAGGTATATGTGTGTCCATATCTACATACAATTTTGATACTTTATGTGCAAATTATAATCTCCCTAACAATTAATGAGAGTGCTTCATACCCTCCCCAATAATGGGAAATTTTTGTAATTTCTCAACAGATCAGTTAGCAGCAGCTCGGAATCCTTCATGGTTGCTGTTGTTGTTTTGTTAAGTATATTTTTTAAACAAACACCTATGCAACATTTACAATGTGTCAGAGACTATTCTGGTGTATTTATGAATATTAAATAATTTAATCACCACAATAACCCAGTGAAGTGGACACTGTTATTAATCTTAGCCTCAAATGAAGAAATGGTTAAGCAACTAGAAGCGTGTACAGCTTAGTAAGTGGTGGAGCTGGGATTTGAACCTTTCTCGTTATTCCAAAGTCCATCCTCTTGTCTGCTGTGCCTTTTGAAAGAAAAAAGTCTTGGTTGCCTAGGAGACAGCGCTGGACAACAGGGATCAGAGAGCCAAGTCCTCACCTCCAGACCACCTGCATTTTCTGTATTTTCTATTTCACTTATTCTAAAAATAATCACTTTGATTTTTTAGGATGTATCAAGGTCAGAAGAAACCAAAAGAAGCTCTGCCCCACTATCAAGAGGCTTTAGAATACACTGAGATGTGTAAAGGTGAAAGAAGTCTCGAATGCGTGCCAATACTGAGGGAACTGGCAGGTGCAGAACAGGCCCTGAAGTGGCACGACGCGTCCATCAGCCACCTGCTGCAGGTAAGCCGCAACCTGCCGGCCGCCAGCGGCGCCCTGGGCCCCAGCCTCTTCATTCACGGCAACCTCTGGACTCGTGTTTGTCCTAACAACGGGGCGCTGCAGCCCAGCCGAGCTCGCCCATAGAATTACCCGTCACAGGGAGACTGGTGTTTTTGTATCGTATCATCAGCTGAAAGCCCATTTCGCATTGTTTCCTGAGAATTTTTATCCTGTTACAGTTGTAAAATATAGACTAAGTCATGCCCATTATTTCCAGTGAGATACAATGACATGGTACTGAGTTCTTTGTTGTTATTTTTAAATTTATCTGGCCTTTATATTCCCCCCTATAGGTTATTGGGGTGTCTCATTCTATCACTTCAATCTGGATTATCTCTCTTAAATATTTCTATATTATTATTTCCAGTTTGTGTTATTTCCTGTGACATATTATTTCCGGTTTACAGACAAGGAAGGTCAAGTGTGAGAAAAGCTGAACGATAGGGCCGGGAGTACCATTCATGCCACTAAATGGCATAAGCTGGATTCAAACTGAGTACGTTTTAGACAAATTATCCCGGCTGGTGCGCAGAGAATGGATCGGGGCGGATGTGCTGGCGTGGAAGTGGAGGAGCCAGCCAGGAGGCTATTGCAGGGGGCGGTGGCTTCAACTAGGATGGTGACGGTACAGTGAGGAGAAGCAGGTGGATGGGGCAAGGGTGCCGAGGCAGAACGGGTGGGGTCCGGAGGCTGATTGGATGTGGGCCCACGAGGGTGGGGGGAGGGCCAGAGACGACTCCTGGGCTTCGGGCTGAACAACCGCGTGGATGCTCGTGGCAGTTAGAGCGAGGCAGCGCGCGGCACTGGGTGCCGGAGAGATGGCGGGCTCAGGAGGCTGGGCTGCCGGCGAGGCAGGCAAGCGGGAATGGCAGCTGCATAGTTGGATAGCGAGGCTGGAGCTCAGCCAATAGGTCGGAAGTCACTTACTTGCACGCGGAGACTGGGTAACCTGGCGAAGGACACAGAAACGCACCTGCAAGAAATACATGAGAAAAAGTAAAAATGAAAGAGATGCCGTCTAGGTCTTTTGTTTCCTTTTCCTGTTATGGGGGGCATGGCGTGGGGAGGATATGTGAGTTGGGAGATATATTCGGAAAGTGCTTAGCACAGCGCCCAAGACACCATGGTACTTAGGAATTGTTCTACCATTTCTCTTTCCTTCGCTTTTCTTCCTTTTCTTTTTCTTTCGCTGACAACCTGGTTGTGGGAAACAGGGAGACAATGGTTAGGACAGAAACCAGATTGTATAGTGAGGTCATAAATGTCAGTACCTGGTCCCAGGAGCACGAGGAGGTGAGGCGGACTAGCCGGACAGAGGCAGGCACACGCGCCTAGGTCTCCAGGTCAGGCAGAGCTTGATATTCAGGGCACTGCAAGGTTTTGAATCTTAGAAGGGTTTTCTGTATCTAGGCTATAGAGGAATTCACTCATTTTTTGAATACTTGTCAAGTTTAATGGGTTGTTTATTCTTGAGGTTCATAAAGATTGGAGAGTGTCAATAAGTGCTTGCTGATTATTATTAAAGAGATTGATTGCATGGTGAAGTCAAAATAACATTAGATCGGAAAGCAGAAAATCTGAGTTGGAGTTCAGATTCTTCTGTTTGTACCAGTCACTTAACCTCTCAAGAAAAGAAAGGAGGAGGAAAAAAAAGACCCTATCCATTTCACGGAACCGTTCAAAGGTTCAAGACAGAAAGTGCCCTGTGAACCATTAGGCATGTTCCCAGTACAAGCCACTTTTATTTATTAACAGTCATTATTAAACATTTATCAAGACGCCCCTTTTCTTTAGGAACTTTACCTAAGACACAGAAAGGTTCCGTGCGGCCACAGCCCTTCGGGGGGGCTCACGTCTAAAAGCCATCTATTAACTACGCATAAAGAAAAGGGGGGTGATTATTCCCCATCTCGTTTTTCACCCCGCATTCCTTTGGAGTGAGAGAAACACCCAGAGAGAAAAGACCTTTTATTTTCTGCAGAATGTAGAAAAGTTCCAGAGTATTTTAGGAACTAACCCATTAAAATGGAGGAAAATAAAAGCGAGCCCCACAGAGCCACCCCTGGAAGAAGGCAGCCGTTCCAGGAACGGATCAAAGAGCTGTCACGGCCCGCCGTTCCCTGGGCAGCAGGGGCTGTGAGAAAGCCACACAAATGGGATTGTTCCCGAAACTCCCCCGGCAGCTTTTGGCAATGGAGCCTTGTTTTCCTTTCCAGAAGAAAAATTACAGGACTCCGCTCCCGGGAGCCGGGGTGCGTTCGCGGGGGCGCGTTCTCAGGGGGCATAAATGAACACCGCGCTGGCTCATGGGCCTTTTTCGCAACTCAGACCCCTGAATTGCACCCTGTCTTTGCAGCCCCCTGAGCCGCGCTGCTGCTCATAAGCGCCCAAATTTAGGGCCGTTTGATGGGCCAAGAGTAATGAAATGATTTAGCCTGTCAGTTACTCTGCCGAAGACTCCGAGGTCAGAAAACCCCGATGCAGGTGCCTGCCCTGTGGCTGGGCCACCAGCCTTGGCCAGGCCCGGCCGGGCGACGGCCGGCGGCTGCTCGCTCCTGGCCGGTTCAGGCTGCTCAGCAGACGCATGTTGTTTGCTCTCACATGCTCGTTTTCATTTCAAAATCTCTGAGAATATCAGCCTTTCTTTTTGTTTAAAATGAGAAGAGATGCAGAATGCAATTATGATTTTAGGCTTTAGGAAAATGTTCTAAGAATGACATAATCTGGGTTCCGCACTGTTTCTTTTTAAGTACTATTTTTATAAAATATTATTTCTTTATATACAAAAATCAAGCCATGTAAGCCACCCCAGTCCTCCCCTCCCCAAAGCAGCTGATGCTGACCCATGTAGCATCTTTCCAGTGCACGTGCACAGAAGGGTCTAGATTGAGAGGCAGGCAGAGGAGGAGAAAGAAAGACAGAGAGAAAGAGGGGAAGAAAGGAAGGAAGGAAGGAAGGAAGGAAGGAAGGAAGGAAGGAAGGAGGGAGGGAGGGAGGGGGGAGGGAGGAAGGGAGGGAAGGAAGGAAGGAAGAAGGAAGGATGGAAAGGAAGGGACATTTGACAGCATAAAAATGAAAAACTGACAAAATATAAGCAAGTCAAAAAATTACTGTCCAAGCAGGGAAAAGAAAGAGCTCTTAGAAAAATCTGGAACACAACTCAATGGAAATATGGACAAACCTAGAGCAGGGGAAACATGAAAAGCCAGCAACCACACAAAAATAATCCTGAGCCTCCTTTGCTACTAAAGAAATATCAATGAACCCAGGGGGCGCTGTTGTTCACCTACCTGTGAGCAAAATAAGAAAGTTCGATGGGGCCCGGCAATGGCAAGGGTGTCGGGTAGCCGATGTCCTTGTGCCCTGCTGGTAGCAGTGGGGATGGGCACCACACTGGGGGAAGACAACCGATGTCCCCTCTCCACTTTTAAAATGCACTGATCCTTCGACTCATGCGTTTCAGAAACATACCTAACAGATGCGTACAAAGCTGTCTGAGCAGCGAAAGTGTCACTGGCAACAGCGAAAAATGAGAACTACCCTCCACTCCATTCGTAGGCAACCGGTTGTGAAATGAGAGTGGAGCACTGTAGAGCCACTAAGGAGAGTGGGAGGCATGTGCATGATCGTTCGTGACAGATGCGACATGACAGATGTCCAAAGTGTTTCATTGATTTCAGATGCAAGGCGTGGACCAGAATGTTCTTTCAGCCAACCGCTGAAGGAGCACCACTCCGTGGGGGGCTCTGGGACGCTGCTCGAAGGTTCAGATGACAGGGTCCTGTCTGCGAGGCGCAGCCCCGCGCGGGCGAGAGGCCTTCGTGGAATAATCACGCAGATGAACCTCCAACTACAACGGCGATGTGCGCCGCGGGGAGAAGTACTGGGTGCCGGAGCTGCCAGCAGGGCCTTCTGACCCTGTGCAGGATCCCGTGGGGATTGCTAACGAGACACCCCAAGGGCTGAGGAGAGGAGACAGGAGCCGTTGTGGGGAGAGCCCAGAGGGCGTGGGCGGGCCATGACGCTGGGGGGGCGGGGCCAGGGCGTGACCCCACGTGTGCGTGCACCTGTTTAAGAACAGGTGCCTGTCCGTGTGTGTTTATATAAAGCGTATCGGCGTTTCTGAGAGGATACACAGGACTCTATCGACAATGGGGAGCTGTCAGGAATCGAACCGGGAACGGGGAGGGGCACAGGCGAGGCTGACAGACGCAAGGGAGGGGGCATGTACAATCGCGTTTATTCTTTTCCAGCATTTAGGATTTTAAAAATTATATGCAGGTATTACCGTTCTAATCTGAAAACATACTGAACTTTTAAGACAGCAGGTACTTGGCAACTAAAAGGGGATGAACATATAGGCCCCCGGCACGTCTATTTTGGTGCTAACCTTACAGAGAGAGTAGAGCCTTTTCCCTCCAGCCCTTTGGAGGAGCTAAAATTGACAACTGGAGAGCCGCCAAGGAGGACTTTCTTGACTATTAAAAGAAACCAGCTCAGTCCAGGGCCCTGAGAACTTAGTTTTCTAATTCCTCGTGCACCCAGTGGATCCCCTTTCATCTGCTCCCCCGGGGATCCCCAGCCCCACTTTCTCTTAGCCAAGCCCCCTTCCCCCAGCTGCCCCACGCCCCTGCGGTGTGTGTGGCCATGAAAGGCTTCCCCACCGGGCCGAGACCGGACAGGACAGACAGGAAGTGGCATCCTCGGGCCGCACCGCGGCCTGGCGTTGCGGAGGGGCGTCAGCTCCCAGCTTTGGCAGGGCTGAGAGCGAAAGCCCCGTGGCTTCACAGCTGGTTTGTTCGAAAGGAACAGCAAGCCCACATCTCGCAGTGGCCAGCGGACTGGAGCTTCTGTCGACTTAAGGCGCAGCTCTGAACCCAAGCAGCCACCCAGGCCTTTGGTGGGAGGCGCCCTAACGTCTGCTCCCTCCGTCGTCCGCTGCCTGGCTTCCCCTTGGGCGCCCCCTCCGGGTCTCAGAAGCTGCTCAGGTGTCCGCATGTTGTCAGCACGCTCTCCTTCCCTAACCAGCCCATGCATCTGGGGGCCAAGTCCACTGCTTAGCCACTCTGGCTCTTAAACAGCAATCCATTGCATTGGCTAGGAAATCACCCCCTCTAACACCGACCCTCCGAATAACCAGCTGTTAGACCAGAAAAGCATGCAGTTTGGAATCCCAGGCCTCAGTGTGAACCCGGGTTCTGTCACGACGTGCCCTTCAGCCAGTTGCTGGATCTGCTTGGGGCTTCACTGCCCCCTCGGTAAATCGGGCTCTTGTCCCCGTCCCTGGGCATTTTGAGATGAAGCCGGCTGGCGCGTGTAATTCCCATAGCTCCTCGCCTGGCAGAACGAGGTGCCCAATCCGTGGGGGTGCTCGCCCCCCCCCTCTGCTGGCCCCTGGCTTTACACAAAGGCCCTGGCCACTCATGGATATTCAGGTGGAGCCCCCCCGTTTCACCATCTCAAATGATGCTTCTTCAGTGGCCCTGAGGGCATTTTTGATGTTGGCAGTGGTGAGCGGGGCACTGTGAGCTGAACAAGAAAGGAAGGAACAGGAGCAGGGAAAGGGAAGAAAGTGGTGGGGGGGGCGGGGGGCGGATGGAACAGGAGCATGTGGGGGGCCCGTACAGGACTGGGAGGTGCTTGGGTGTGACCGAGCCAGGGCACCCGACAATCAGAGGGGGCAGAAGCCAAATACAGGGGTGGGCAAAAGTCAGGTTACAGTTGTGAGCACCCAAACCACAGAGTCTATTCTTGTATGACTAGCTGTTCATTATATTTATTTGTATTATAGCTGTACACCTACTTTTGCCCATCCCGGTATGAAGTCATTTTGAATTTGAGTTTTAATCTAAAACCCTGGGTGTTCAAAGTCTCTGTAACAATGTGAGTGAAGTCTTTTCTGGGATCACAGGATGCTCTCTTCAATCGTGGCTTGTAGAGACAGTCAGCCCAGGGCAAAAGCAGAAAATGAACACGATTCAGTTTGCATCTGGGGTGGGGCAGGCTTTTCCCCTCTCTCTCTTGCCTTTTCCTTTCCGCAAACACTGAACACTTGATCCTTCGACTCTGTCCCTGGGGCTTCCGTTGCCTTTACTTGCATGTAGTGGCTTTCCGGAGGGCCCGGTGTTTGCGAAGCATTTCAAGTCAGAGCTTCCGGCCAAATCGAGGATAATGACTAATCCAGGGGTTGCCAAAATCGCTGCTTCAATTTATTTATATCCCATGATAACAAACGTACTTATTATTAGCGTTTACGAATATGAAATGCTGATGGTTCTAACACCGCAATGAAAGTTAGAGCCAGCACCCTTGGCCTGGGGTAGCCCCTATCACAGGAAGTGCAGCGCTACTCACTCAGTTGGTTTTAGCCTATGACAAAGGAGGCCACTGTCTACAGTCCATCCGATTGCTGTCTCAGAAATGCATCCCGCCGGCCCTCAGAGTCTCTGTGGCTTCCCTGTCTCCCTGCTGGGCTGGGACTAGAAGCCCCCCATGGTGGGGCTTTGACCCCCTGGGCCAGCTTCCGTGGACTTGCGTAGCCCCTGGAGGCTGAATGAGTCGGGGGGCGCCAGGGAGTGAGCTGGCACCATGGGCGAGCCTGCCCCCAAGGCCAGAGCGGGACAAGCCGCCGCCTTCCCAACGCGGTAGAAGCAAGTCACCCGTTCATTCAGCAACCTCGGTTTTCTCCCCTGTAAAATGGGGGCAAGAAAAATGGCCAAGAGAAGTACAATGGATACCGCAAACGAAAAAGAATTAAAGCGTGCGGCTTCAGTGTTAGCTCTTGGTAGTATGTTTGGCCTGACCCAATCTAGGGTTCTCTTTCAACTCATGGGATTTGGGGCTTTCGGTTTTGTCAGTTAATTGTGAACTACCTCCCCTCTCACACTGGTGCATTGTATGACTTCATGTTTTCTGTTTCTTTCTGTACTGCCCACACTTTCTGGCCCAGGCCTCCTGTAGTAGGCGACCTGTAAGTATCTGTTTGTCGGATGAACTTAAATGCGCTACTGACATGCATTTCTACAGCCTCCCACGTTGACCGGCAGATGAGGAGTGACTTCACATTTTTATTTACGTCTGTATTTTATAGTTTTCTATTTGAAGCGATGCATTTTATTTGAAAGGATTATTGTTATTATTTTACGTTCATAGGACCATAGGGTTGTATTTTGCCTTAAAGAATTTCAAAACAGGCTTTGTTTTCAAGGAACTGAGCTGCATTCTGTGCTCGGGCAGCTCTCACGGGCCGGTTTGCAGGGCGGGCAGGCAGGCAACTGGGCTGGACCGGGCGTGGGGGAGGCTGCGGCGGAGCGGGGCTTGCCCAGCGCTGGCACTTTCGAATCCATCGCCTTCCTCCTGAATCCCTGCCCCCTCCTCTGCTCACACTGCCCCCATAGGAGCATAGACTTTTAAATGGTTTACTTAGCAATGGGCGCTGGCCACCTGGGCTCAGCGCTGGGCGCATTCTCCCTCCCCCTGCACAGTGCTTTTAAAACCCATCTCTCCCACGAGGGGATTGGGCTTCCCCATAAATCACATTGTCCAGCTTGCGAGAAAGTTCCTTGGCCTTCTGCGCATCGCTACAAGAACAATGAGTTCCCCATTGCTGCTGCCAAGCAGGTAAACAAGCGTGTTTCTTCTTCCTGTGGTGACAGGCGCATCTCATCGTCCTCCAGGGGGAGCCGTCTGAGGAGGAGGCAGCGGCCTCCGCGCACTGCATCGCCCGTGCTGCCGTCGCTTCCGGGAAGCCCCAGCACCACGGTGAGAGCCAGCCTTCCTGGGCGCCAGGCCCTGCCTGCTCCCCGCCTGGCCCGCACCCACCTGGGCCTTGGGGATGGGAGAGCGGGTGGATGGAGCTGGGACACAGACCCTTCGGGGAGCCACTGCGGCTTTACCCCACCATCCTTAGGGGCGTCCCTCTGGTCTCTATCCCTGCTCAGCCTTCCTCTAATCTTTTATTTTCACACACGATGAATCTTCATCCAAACATAGCTCTTACAAGCCCCAGAGAATCCGTGCTGCACTGGCAGGGAACCTGCTCGGCTTTCAAAGGTGGCTATTTTTAAAGGTTGTGGAACTGCTGGGGCACAGCGAGCTGGCCCTCAGGGACCCGGGTCCAGACACGCAGGGCGCTGAGCGTTCACTTAGAGTGAACTTGCACGGCTTCAGGACTCTAGAAGGAAGCTGCCCGTTATGATTCAAAGGGTTTTTCTTAGCCCCACCTCATAGGCAGGGCAGCAGGCGTGGGCAGCTCTTTAGTCCGCCATCCTGGGGCTAGAGCATGCGGTATGCCTCTATTGACAGAGAACACACATTCCAGTGACTTTGTTTTTTGGTCAGAATATTCAGAAACAGAGTGTAACTGACAAAGAAGACCCACAGGTGTATGCCGAGATGCCAGATAAAGATAATTGTAGTCCAATAAGGGCCGATGAGCCAGCAAGCCTACCATCGACACCAGCAAGGCTTGGGGTTGGGCGTCAGGGAGTACCAGCAAGGCTTGGGATTGGGGCTCAGGAGTTGGGCCAAGAGGAGGGGGAGGAGGCTGGCAAGTTGGGGAAGTTGGAAGGGAGGCCTCCGTGAGCCGCCTGGTCTGCAGGGGCCGCTGGGCCAGGCCGGGGCTCCCGCCTGGGTGGGGCTGGCGCGGGGATCACAGGGTTTCCCTGTCTGTCCAGTCAGCCTTGACAATCCCTCCGTCCGGCCACCTGGAGCTTTGGGCACCTTTCAGGGCTGGAGGGGTCCATCTGGAAACAGAGAGAGAAGATAGGTGGCCTTTCTGCTTCTCATTCCTTAGGATGCTCCTTACATAACCATCGATTTCAGACCCTCCAAGGAGCCAACATTTTGACCAGCTTAATGGTGCCTAAAATTCCTTTAATGGGGAGGTGAAAACCTTCCATTCCACGACTGTTACAAGACACTTCATATGCAAATCCACATTTGATGGAAACTCCTGGAATAGCAGGAGCCACACATCTAAATGTCTATAGGAACCAGCAAAGCCATGTGCGTGAAGCTGGTAATTGTTAGAAAGCATAGCTGCAGCAAGCATACTTACAAATGGCAGGTACCTGTTGGCTATACTGTGAGAGAGGCAATAGGGAGTGGTGAGTCTGTGGCAAACTGGAGGAACCTGTACCTTGTCCAAAGCGAGCAGCTGTTACTCAGCTCCAGCCCATTGCTGTCATGTGCAAGGCACGCTAATGATGTTGGCGGATCTTCTGCTTTTTCAAGAGAAGGTGGAAATCTGGATTTTTATGTGACGTCCACTCGTGATTGGTGGTAACTCACTCAGGTATGTTCCGGCTCTGAGTGAGGCAGGGCAAGTGTGAGGGCTGCGTCTGCGCCCGCCGAGCCTGACGTGATGAGGGGTGGTCAGGTCCAGCGTGCTCCACCGTGTGCCAAGGAAGCTCCCACGCAAGGAGTCTCAGCTCTGCTCTCCTGTGCCTACACCTGTCTGTGCCGAGTACAATTTATTTATTTTTTTAAAGAATAATTAATGAGAAAACAATAATTCTCATCTGGGGAGTCTGCATGGCCTGCTTGCTGAATGCCCATAGAAGGCATTGCCCTTTGATTAAAAAATGTCACTGGCCAAGAAGCCCGCACGTTCAGGCTCCTCACTCAAGCTGCTCCCTCTGCTCCGCGCCCTCCCTGCATTCCTTACGCAGACAAAACTGCCCTAGAAGTCACTGAGGATGGTGATTGCATAAGGACTCTCTCCTCGGGCCCCTGGAATGTCACTAACCTGAGCCAGGCCGGCCGGCCGAGCAGCCATAGACAAACTTGGTATCAACAGCTCTCCCAGCCTCACTCCGTGTTCAGGGCATTGGCCTTGGGTTTATAACTCTTCTTGCAAAAGATATTATTCAAATGAAATGGGTACAAGCCAAGTACATTACAGTGTAAACCTTTGCAGAGGCAGAGCCTCCTAAGCACAGGCGGCCTTGTTTGGAAGTGGCCCCATCCTCAGCCTGGGCACCAGGGGACCAGGGAGCTCCTCAGGGTCCAGAGACAGCAAAACAGAATGGGCTCTGCCCCATCCAAGCCTTGGGGGCAGAGGGTGGGACCCCTGGCATATGGACCAGACTCAGGAGTGTGGGGTGCATTCTTGAGATGAAATTCCCTGTGTACAAAAATATATTCATCTCCCTGGTCCCTACTGGTCCCCACCTCTCCCCACATTTTGCACTGTATACACAAAATAAGTATCTGAACTGAAGCCCTGTATCCTGATTAAGCTCCTCTTTTTCACTCTATACAATCTTCCCTTTTTAAAAAAAAATATTTTATATATTTATTTTTAGAGAGAGGGGAAGGGAGAAACAGAGGGAGAGAAACATCAGTGTGTGGTTGCCTCTCACACGCCCCCTGCTGGGGACCCAGCCCACAACCCCGGCATGTGCCCTGACTGGGAATCAAACCAGCAACCCTTTGGTTTGCAGGCTGGCGCTCAATCCACTGAGCCACACCAGCCAAAGCCAATCTTCCCTTTTCTTAACTCTCCCTCCTGGGGCCTGCCTTCACTGGGTGACTGATGCTCCTCGGGTCCTGTGTGTCCCAGGGAGACTGGAGGTCATACAGCCTCGGGCATGCACATGCAGCCAGTTCCCACGGGCTGCTGACTTCACCTTCCCGAGGCCTCCTTCACTGCCCCTGCTGGCAGGAATGAGGGTACGCACGCAGGGCTGGTCCCTTCCCGGTGGTGAGGTCGGTGGAGGCAGGCAGATCCCCCTGGTGACTGAGCCGCTGACAGTGCCTATGGGCGCCAGGCCCCGCGCAGGCAGCTCACGTTTGCTCATTCATGACACCGTCTCCGTCACCTCGCTCTGCTGATGCAAATCCACCCTCAGAGATGGCCCTAGACTCCCGTGGACCACGCCACTGGCAAGCAGCAGGTCCGCCACTCCTAGAAGCCACGTCCGGGCCCTCAGAAAGCGTCTCCCCTGAAGAGGGTCCCCACTGTGGGCCCTGAGGGCCCAGCAGCAAAGAGAGCCCGTCCTGGCCTTGGTCCTCAGGCTGCCCCATGCCACGCCGCCGCCCCCGCCCCCGCCGCCAGTGCCCGCAGGCCGGCCCCCAGCAGGCTCTAAATGGGCTCAGTCCTTCGTTGGCTGGGTGAATGCCCAGCGAGGCTTTAAGACTTTCCATTTTCAAATTCCCTGGGGCCCTTCATGCTTTCGCAGTTAGTGCAGAGAACAGACTGTTTCCAAAGACTGTCACAAAAGGTGATTGTCACCCCACACACGCAGGCCTCCCTCTCCCAGCCCTAACCTGGGACGCACAGCCTCAAGCCAGTGCGCCCAGCGTTACTGGAATTTATTTTAATTAAAATCCTCCCGACCCCCAGTGGGCCGAGCCGTAACCCTGTATCCCTCTTGCTCTTTGAGTGAGGCCTTGCTTCCTGGTGCCTGTGCCTGAGCAGACAGGTGGAACAGCGTCCCCGGGGCCCCAGGGGACCGTCAGCCACCCTGGCCGCTGGGCCACACCTCCCCCCTCGCTCTAACAGGCCCGTGGGGCTGAAAATGGGAGACCTGTGGCCTTGCCCTGTGCCCCCAGGGCTCAGATTTATAGGCTGGGTCATGCTCCTCTGCTTTAGAAAATGACCTCACCCTCTGCCCAGGCCAGGCATCAGGTTGCAGAGGATTCTAGAAGAGGTTTTTAAGGATGTGGATGGCCCTGTGTATAAGCACAAGGAGCAGGCCGCGAGGTGGCCACCCACCCACCCTGCTGGGACCTTCGGTCCCTTGTCCCAGATGGATGTCCCCCCCGCCCCCCAGGAGAACAAACTCTGCTTATCAGGGAGCCACGCCTTAACGGGACCACTTTGCTGCCCCCTCAGAGGCCAGCCCTGTGGCTCAGAGTTCAGAAAGTTAAGCTGGCGAGCTGGGGGGCGAGAGAAGTCAGCCAGGGCCTTGCATTCAGGGTGGCAGTGACGGCCGTTTCTGGCTGGCAGACGGGGAGGCGCCTGCAGGGGGTGCCCTAGACCTGCCTCTGCTCCTGGGCTCCAGCTCTGCGACACGGGGTCCTGGCGTGTGGTCCGGGTACACTTGATGACAGCCCCCCACCGGGTCCCCACCTCCCTCTCACCAGAGACCTCCCTGGAACAGAAATGGGAAAACCCTGGACCTTCAGAAGAGCTGAGTAAGGAGGAGGGGAAGCAGGCGGACCCCCGAGGGCAGGTTCCCAGACAGGGCCTGTCTCTGACCTCCCATCACAGCACCCAGCTTTCTCTCACCTCTGTGGTCATGCTGCTTTTAGTTTAAGTCACAAATTCCTTCCTCCCTCGCTGCCACTCTTCCAGAGATCCATCCATGCTAACAAGCCCCCTCTCTGGAAAATACGAATTGGTCTCCCTGAGTCAGAGGTTATAAGCCATTTACACGCTAGTCTGAATTAGGCAGAACAGCTTCCTTTCTCCCAGCCTCCCCTGGAGGCCAGCTCCACTAAGGGAAAGGAGCATGCAGCCATCAGGTTTAGGGGACTCACTTAAATGGGGGTGCTTTTGGGGGGCAGGTGGTCAGCATGTGACCACTAGGGGAAGGGATACTATAAGAAGTGGGAGAAATTGACAAGAAAAGGGCTAGAAAGATGTCCAGTGCGGCTGTGTCCATCTGGGTCAGGAAGGGGAGGGAAAGGTGCCCCATCCCTTTTGGCAGCCCCTTTGCCTGAGCACAGCACCACTGCTTCTGCCACAGCCTGGGGCCTGAGAGTCAGCCGCTGCCCGTTCCGCCCCAGCTCCTTCCTACACCCTTGACATCTGCTGGTGTTTCTAGAAAGGGCACATCTTCCGGGCAGGAACAAGGCTGAGACTCGGAAAGAGCCTTGTCCGGTAAAGAAAGGCATGGCTCCATTCTTTGGTTCATTTCCAATTAGACAGAAAACAAAAATATCAAGAGTACTCCACTTCTGAATGTCCCCGTTACCTTGGAGACGTGGAACGCTGATGTCTGTAACCATTTAAGAGTCAACAAAATAAATGCCACATCATGCCCCCATCAGCTGTCCTCAGATTGCCAAAGCAGCCAAAGTTAATACTTAGTTTGAGCAGTAAATCTGTAACGTTGTCTCCCATGAGTCAGCTAGGAATAAAAGGGATGTAATACTTTTCCTGCAGTAGAATTTTCTCCTGCCAAGAGAAAATTTGGAGGGATGCTCTATAAATGCATCTGCTGGTCTGGCAGCAGACAGAACCCCATTCATAGAGAGGGGTCTCTTTCATCAGCCTGGAAACTTACCGATATCTTCTGTCTGGGGGATGGTTTGCTTTACTGTCGCACTGGGACATCTAAGGTGTATGAAAAACCAAGGAAAGTAAATTTTCCATATCCTTCTGAGACCTAGATCTTTTCTGATGAAACCGGAGTCTTAACGGGCAAAAGACAGTTTCCTTAACTGGTTTCTCTTATCCAAATGCTTATTATTTCCAAATACTTCAGCGCCGCTAAAAGCACATTTGTTCTGTTTCCATTTCCAGTCGGCAAGCCGTTCTCACAGTTGTTATGATGCTTTTCTTCAGATGTGGCCGAGAGGTATTTCCAAGAGAGCCTGGCGAAGCTTAAGGATGCGGAAGGGGCGGGAAGAGCCAAGTTCCTTTCGATTCAAGATGACTATTGCCATTTTCTCCGAGTCAGTGGGCAAGAAGAGGTGAGTGAGTTTGGACCGCAGCTGATTAGTTATTTACATGCGTGGCATAGTTGGTATCCGAAAGGGCTACTCAACTCCTTCACTCTGCGAGCATTCAGCAGGCACCTACTTCATGCATCGCGCGGGACCGACCCCACAGGGACATGGGTGAATAAGGCCCCACGCCAGCGTCAGGCAGCTTCCAGGCCCGTGCTCCGTTGTTTATGAGAATGTAGACGCCCTGCTCCCCGACAAAACAATCTGAAGGCCCTGCTTATCACAGCCGTGGCCTTGGCTGGGATGCAGCTCGTGAGCGGGCCCGTTGCTTCTGGGGCGGAACACAGGCTGGATTGTGCCGCGCGCCCATTCCAGCCAAACGTGGCAACCTGGCTGGGTCTCCCCCTCAGCGTGGCACCCGTCCTGCTGTTCTTAGCCTCTCTCTCCACGGGTTCTTTGCCTCTGTGGGTTCCAGCGGCAGCCGGCCAGCAAGAGCTGGGCCTGAGGACAGTCCCGAGGTGAGCCAGGGTCACAGCCTGCACCTGGGCTAGAACCCTGCACCCACAGGGAGGTGACCTTGCAGGAGGAAGACACCTTAGAGCGTACCATTTGAGTGAGGGTCCCTCTTGGGTTTATCTTCTAATTATGCCCCTCGCCTGTTCCAGAACCTTCTCTGAACTCCTCGCCCTGACACGGGGGGCCCTCCTCTGATGCTGAGACTCCGCCTCGGCTCCCTCAGCTCCCTTGGCTCCCCTTCCTGCTTCCTCTGCTGCAGCCATACCAGGCTGACCCCTGACTCCGAACGTGCCATGGGCCCCTCCCAGTGCATGCACGCCCTCGCTTCCCATGCCCTCTTCTCGGCCCATCTCAGTCCTGCTGTTCTGCACTCCTCTCTCTGGGCACCTTTTCCAACCCGCAGGGGCTGCCACCATGTGTCCTCGAAAGCCCCGTGCCACTGCGGCTTGCCACTCAGGCTCACGCGCATCTCTCTCAAGTTTCCCCGGTCAGGCCGACAGTGGCATGGAAAGCTGCATGTAGGACAAAGAGCTGGCTCTCCTGTCGCTGGCTTCTCAGAGCCTGCCAGTCGCTTCCCGTGGGAAAGCGGCCAACACCGCACCACGCTAGGTCCTTGCTCACAGTTGTCACCTTTAGCACCAGGCCGGTCCCCTGTGTACTGAGGTGGGTCACACATCCCTGGTCGACGCAGTCTCTCTGCCCCTGCAGTGGGTTCCTCTTCCCACCTGTGAAATATTTCTGCTTCGTCAGCACCTTCGCTCTGGTTCTGCAGACACCTAACTCACGTTGTTGCCAACCAAAGAGCGAAGCCACGCCGGCCCCTTCTGTCTGGACACGCGGTCAGGACGCCTTCAGGCCTGCCCGGTGGGGAAGCCCCCTTCGCCGGCTCCTGCCTGAGTTGGCGCTGAAACTCAGCATCTCTGTCCCACAGCTGCCATCGAGCCTGTGGCAGATCCTGGGAGAATTTCCGGAGAAACATGGGATATCGACATAGGGGGATTCCAACCTCTGTATGTCCTGGTGTCTGACTGAAGCATGTCTATCAGAAGATGCTGGTTTTTGACCAACTCCTGTTTTTAAATTCTCTGTTGGTATAAGTAAGTCAGATAACCCAAACAACATGTCAACTCGATGTAATTTTTTAGCATGTTGGAATGTTTGCTTTCGGTTTCATCAACCATTGCTTATGAGAAATAGAAACCTCTGGAATATGTTTGGGATGTTCTGTAAGTGGGTTAATCGCCAGGAAGTGGTAGTTTTCACTGAGGTGAGAATGTCGCTGTGCCCAGAGGGAGGAGACCCTGCCACCAGAAGGGATTAACGTCACTGGCCCATTCAGACCCTGTCTGTGCCCCTGATGAGCTGTCCGACTCTGAGCAAGTTTCTTGACAGCTCCGTGCCTCAGTTTCTTCCTCTGTCAAATGAGGATTAAAACTGTTCTGTCAGAAGGAGGCAGTGAGAATTAAGTGAGGTCACACAGGCCAGCTCTTCAGCACAGTTTGTGACGTCCTAAGCACACATCCATGTTACCTTTTTTTCTTACTCCTCGACTAACGGGGATTCTTGCCATCTGTGGAGTGCCTTTTTCTCCAGGTGTCTTTATGCGTTCTCTCTTTGTAGCTCTGTGGAGGTCACTTCTGTCTCCCATTTAACCAGAGACAGGTAGGCTCAGCTCAGGGGACAGTCAGCCCGAACCCATTCCCCTAAAGAGGGAAAATACCCGTGAGTCACGTCTCTTTCTTAAGAGGCCCTGACCTTCATCAGCCTTTGACCTTTCGTAACCAGACAGCTTTCTGTTCCTGTCACAGAGAGCAGCCTCGATCCTGAGAGAGTCCCTGGAGGCCAAAGTGGAGGTGTTTGGCGATCTCAGTCCCGAGGTGGCAGAGACGTACCGGCTCCTGGGTGGGGTCGACCTGGCGCAGGGGAACCTCGGCGGGGCCCACAGGAAACTGAACAAGGTAAGCCTGGAGCCCACGCTGAGGCAGAGGAAAGGCCTCCGCCCCCACCACGGGTCGCCCTCCTCCCTCGGCTGGGCTCCTGTTAACTAGGCCTGTGTAAGCCCTGGTCGAAGGGCTCAGTGGGTTGGAGCGTTGTCCTGTGCACCAAAAGGTTGTGGGTTAGATTCCCAGTCAGGGCGCGTATGGGAGACAGCCAATCAATATCTCTCTCTCTGTTTTCCTTCCTCGTTTTCCAAAATTGATGAACATATCCTTGGGTGAGAATTAAAAAAAAATAAATGAATGGTCCTTAATAAGTGGCTTATTTATGTAAGATGACTTCACTTTCACAGTTGATTTACACTTTTTCGGTAAAACATACAGTAATCCTCTGATACGCATATATTATTTAATGAATTATCGATTAGTTTTTACTATGCAAATATATTTTTAATTTTTATGTAGTATAATTTATCAATCTTTTTCTTTCTACTGTGCGCTCTCTCTATACCCAGTTTGTAGAGGAATTCTCCTGTGGGTTCTTCTAGTACTTATATATTTATTTCTGTTTTAGTTTGGAGTTTATCTGCATGGATGGTGTGAGTTATAGATCTAATGTTATCTTTTTTGAAAAAAATGCCTACCCACTTGTCCAGCACCTTGTTACTGAAGAGCCCAGTATTTGAGATAACACCTTCATCGTATACTACCTTTCTATATGTACTTGAGTCTATTCCTGCATTTCTCTTCTGTTCCACTGATCTCTCTGTTTATCAAATGCCAGTTCCTCATCATTTTCAGTATAGAGATTTCATAGCACAATTCACTGTCTGGTGGGATTAGAGACTGTCACGAGTTTCCTTCCTCTAGAATATCAGGTTTTCTAGATATCCTAGCATGTTCATTTTCCACAGGCCTTTCAGTGTCAATTTGTCTGACTACATAGAAAGTTTGGTGATATTTTTTTGAGGATTGTGTTATTTGTAAATGAACTTTAGGAGAACTGACATCTTTCTCATGGTGAGTCATTTTACTCAAGAACATGGATGCCTTTATACTTGTTGATGTGTACTTTGGTATCATTTAGACACATTTTGAAGTGTACATTTGATAGGTTTCGTGCGTTGCTTATTAGGTTGATTTCGATGCATTTTGTCTTCTTTGATACTATTGCACATAGAGTTTTATCCACTATTCTGTCTTTCAGCAGGTTATTTGATTATGTGTGAAGGCTGCTGGTTTCTCTATATTTGTGTTATATTCTGTTAACTTGCTTATTTCTTTTCTTGCCTGAGTTGATTTGAGCATTGATTCTCATAGATTTTCCAAGTATCCTATTACATCTCTGCAAACAGTTTTATTTTTTGCTTTTCAGTTCTTATGGGTCTGATTGATTTCTCTTGTCTAAGTGCATTGGTTCATCCCTCCCGTACAATAAAAAAGAGTAGTGGAGATACTAGGCACCCTTGTCCTCTTCCTGATCTTAATGGAAATGTCTCTACTGATTCTTCACTTAGTAGACTCTGGCTTTAGGACTAAGGTTTATGTATTGTATCATGTTAAGGAAGTAGCCATCATTTTCTATTTTCATGAGTAATTAATTTTTTTAATTGGAAATAAGTGTTGGATTTTATCAATTGTTTTTCGAGCATTGGTGGAGATATTCAGATGATTCTTCCTAGATCACTTAATATGGTGCATTTTATTATAGTCTCAAACCAACCTTGCATTCCTGGAATCAATGCCCTTGGTCATGCTGAATTGTATTCCTAATGTGAGGTTGATTATTGTTTGCGAATATTTAAGATTTTTGCACCAATATTTATATTTGTTTAAGTATCAATATATTTGCTTCATAAAAATAATTTGGAAGTTTACCTTTATTTTCTATGCACTGAGGGAATTTGTGCAGCATCTAGTCTTTAAAGGTTCGTACTACCTGTGGAACTCTTTAGGCCTAGTGCTTCCTAGGCCTAGGGAGCGGGGGCTGGGGAGGTGGCTAGAGAGTGTAGCCTGTTTAAGAGGCAAAGTCAGCGTGTGCTGCCTGTCAGGGAGCAAGTCTCTGTGGCTGAGTTTGCAGGTGATGGGCTGAGACTTGACCCTTTAGGCCCCAGCCCCAGATGGCAGCCTCTGTAGGCCGGATCCAGCCAACCACCTGTTTTCACATGGCGCAGAGTTTAAAATGGTTTTTACAATGATCATACAACCTGTAATCATTTTACAGATGATATAAATTGAGCTGACGATGGGGAATGCTAACTTTGAACCCCAATGGAGATGGTATTCACCCCCCTCCAAAATCCATTCTTCTCCTTAGAACTAGATTATGAAAGACGGTGCTTGTTATTATATTTTGAATTTCACCGATAAAACTCTGTAGAAGAATTTCCCTCCTGTTACTTAAGTACCCACATAATAGCCTTGATTTTTGTCTTTTGGCCCACAACAGCTGCAGTAGCGACCCTCTGCCCTTTGCAGAAAAAGTGTCCAAACCTTGTTCTAAGTGCCTGGGAGCTATTGAGGGAATTGAAAGCAGAGCACAGAAGGCCTATAGTTGGATTCGGGCATTTTCTCTTTTTAATCACTGTGAAAATGGTGTTGAGAATGCAGCGGAGCAGCCCAAGAATTGAACCAAGAGGCCTCTGTGGTCTCATCTGTAAAATGGAGATAACACACGCCCGCCAGCCCTCCTGCAGCTGTTCCGGGGGTGGGACGAGGAGACGCCCTGCCTGGTACAGAGGGCAGGTGCCTGAGAGCGCAAGAGGGAGAAGGGAGAGCTTTCCTGGCCCTTGGGACGCTCCACTTCCCCTTCCCCCTCCTCACCTCTCCCCCGGGGTGGGGGGGGTTTGTGAAACAGGCAAAAGCTCTTCTGAAGGTTCAGCCTGGGCACGCGAGCCCAGGCAAGAGAGAGACCCCAGGAAACTGGGGGAGGCAGCAGACTGATTGTGGCAGATGCACAAGGAACGTGAGCAGGGGCCACCCAAACCCTCATGGGGCCCTGCCCTGCTGGCGCTGGCCAGGCCAGGCTGGTACCGCGGCCGAGCCCGTGCTTAGGGCTGGGCTCGCTGCTGCCAAGGGCGGCTTGCACATCCGTCTTGCTCCTCACAGCAGCCCGGCAGGTCAGACCTTACTGGCCCTGCTTCGCTGACAAGCGGCCTCCGGGAGCTAAGCAAGTAAATTGTCTATGGGCTGGTTACTCTAAGAAAAGCCCAGCTTTTTCCTTTATGCTGGTAGCTTAAGAAGCGTGGGTCCTTAAACCCTGGGTCGCCGTCCGAACCGGAGCCTGGGGCAGGGGTCCAGGACCCGGGGGCCTGCACTGTGCTCCTGGGAGAAGGTTGAGTCACGCCACTGGGGCAGGGCTGACAATCAGCTCTATTTCAAGAAGCTCCCAGGTTTTGTCACCTCTAAAACCTGCAGTGCAAGCTGGGGGCATATTCTCCCTCTCATTTGGCCTCCTGATCCGCCAGTCCTGAAAACAATGGCTTTGACATTTTAAAGCCACCTGGCCACGTGCCAGAATGGGAGAGAAAGGGTTGAACTTGTGTCCGTCCCCGTGGGTGGCGCACACGGTGGTACAGGCAGACCCTGTTTCCAGCTCTCTGCGGGTGCCCACAGGAGGCGGGGCTGGCCGCGCCCAGGGCACCGGGGCACCCACGGGCGGGAAGCAGGCCTTTCCCGCCCGCGGCGGAACTGGACATTCTCAAATGCCATATTTAGCCGTGAGCTCAGTGGAGCCAGCGGCTGCTTTCGCAAGCAACCGGCCCCCTCTTCCTCCTGTTTTTATCTCAGCAGCTTCCTCCCCCGGCTTTTCCAACTCTGGTCCAGGAAGCCTCAAGCCCAGGCTATTCCAGATGTTCCCTCCTGTGCTGAATGGCCCGGGCCTGGTCCCCAGGGCATGAAAATCAGGAAGGCCTGAGACACAAAGCAGACAGCGGGATTAAATTACTGAAAAGAAAACCGTGTTATTGATCTGTCTTCCAGAGGCCTGTGCTTATGGGGGGGGGGGGGGGAAAGTGGAGAATTCCATGGGCTCCAGATGGAAATTTCCACAGCACAACTTCACAGGCTTTTGCAGCAGAGAGACCTGGTGTGATTCTAGGATGGGCGTCCTTGCCAGCATTTTCATCCCGGTGAAAGGCTGCAAGAGAGAATTCGGGAAGGCGGCCTCCTCAGTCCGTAGCCTCTTAGGGCGCATCCTGGGCCCGGTGACTGTGTGCAGTCAGGGCGGGGTCCCCTCGTAGTCCGGCCTCCCCATTAAGGACTGTCATCCCCAGGGTTCATTCTGCTTCCTGGCTACTTTACAGAAGAGAGCATTTCCATAAAATAACAGAATCGTAAGTGGCCTCTTTCTCCAAGACCTCCTCCAAAGCCCCCTCCAGTAAATCCTTTGAGGAAAGGAGGTGGAAAATGGTTTTTATTCATAGATGGCAGGTGACGAAGTCACCTAATCCGTGGCAGCCGCCATGTTCTTATGTGAAGAGTCCCATTCGTCTCTGACCCCAATTTATCTCATTATCTTTGTTTAACCCCTGTTGAGCTATGGCAGTCCACCTGCTCAAGTCCTTTTTAAAAGAAAGGAAGGCCACGGTGACGTTAATTTCATATGCAAAACCCAGTTTCTTGAGTTGAGAAACGTGCTTAAAGATGCTCCAGCTCTTGTTAGTGGAGATTTGTAAATCTGCTGTCTTATGAGAATGGGAGCTGATGGGTAAAGGGGTCAGGGTTACCATTCCTACCCCCCGCACACCCCCCCCCCTCGCCGGGAGCGTCCCTTGCCTGCTGTGGGCGGGGTGGAACCGAGAACCCAGGGTCCTGGACCACAGCCTGCCAGGAGGGTTGGTCTCCTGGGGGTCAGGCCCCTAACTACACAGCCCCAGCCCGAGGCCCTCCACCTCTGCTGCCCCCTACAGAGCACAGATGGGTAGTGCATGCAGACCACCCACAGGCAAGGCCACGCATCACAACTCTTCCTGTGGCTTGGTGAGTGCACAGTGCTTTACAAGTTCCCACATTAGCGCCAG